GAGCATGGAAGAAATGCAGTCTGCGCTGCTTTGCACTCACTGTAATCACCCTGTCTCCCTGCATGGCTGCTCTGTGCAGCCCAGCTTTCAGGCTCAGTTTACCTTCTCCTTAGACTTGCTGTTGCCAGAGTGGCCACAGGAGCCGCAGAACATCACATCTGGGGTGGCCAAGGGAGGTGGAGATCAGCAGCCACTGCAGCTGTCTGTGTGGCAGGCATTTTCCCACATGGTTCCTGGATATCAGTGCTGTGAGCTTCAGTGTCTGTCATCCATCCCCTCACTGCTGGGAACACCTTTGCTCCTCCTGCACCAGTGCAGCCAATCATTTGGAGAGCCTGGCTCAGACACAGCCAGGCATCTCCCATTGTAAGACAATCTCTCATTGCAGACAAAGTCCCATGAGAAGGACCATCCCCTGGGTGTTTCCCTACAGCATGCGTTTCCTGACATGTATTCCTGGTCAGACTGACCACAGGTCAAAGAAAACATTATCAGCTCTTCTTGTGCTCAACGTCTGAAATGAGAGGCAGGTGATTTCCATGGACAGAGTGGGAATCTGGGGTTTTTTTGTTGTTGTTGTTGTTGTTGTTTGTTTTTTGTTTTGTTTTGTTTTGTTTTAATTATCCATTTTTACTATAGGAATATGTTCAGTAAGGTAGGTGGTTCAGCACAGCGTTAAGGGTGGATAATTTCTTGATTTGTTTCTGTGGGCTCACTGCGGGGTATGCAGCTTGCCAGAGACCCCAGGACAATGCAGAAACAGTTTTCCACATGTTGGTTTTCAAGTAAAGGACAAGACTCTTGAGTTCATGTGGGCTAGATTGAGGCATACAGAAGATCCCTTCAGTGCAGGATTATTAAACTTGTCCTAATTTACTCCTTTGAACAACAGTTCGATCTACATGTCCATAAAAGGTTTCCTGATCATATATATGTGTGTGCCTGACATAAATAAAAGACATACTGAAGATATTGGAAAGAGATCCCATAAAATATTTTTACATATAGAAAAATATACAAATAGAACATCTGCGTCTGATCTCTTTAGCTTTATGTTAATTTCTGACAAGTAGATTCAAATTTCTCAGTGCAAGATCCTTGTTCTTTCCGCTATTATAAAACTTCACTTTTAAGCCCAGGCACCAACACGTTGCTCTCTTTTCTCCTCTTTCTCCATACATCTGCATCAGTTTATATTAATTCAGCAAGACAGTTAAAGTCAATGCCTTTCAAACTTGTGCATGTATTACATTCTCCTACTTGATTTTCATTTTAAATAAAACTTTGTTATTCATCTACTCAGAGACCAGGAAAGGGACAATTTGGCTGCAAAAGGACATGCTCTGGAATCAAACAGCAGGGCTTGTGGAATGGGTGCAGCTCCACATCTGAGTTTTGATTCACCTTCATCCTCCATCGTTTGGGGTTTTCTGGGTCTAGCAGTAATCCAAGCAGCTCATTTTGACAGATTTAGAGTGTTTCATACGGTAATTGGAATCTCACTGCTTTAATGTCTTCATTCAAACAGTTTCTCTGATCATGACACTGAAAGGGAAGGCTTATGCTATACATAGCTTTATGTGGGAAAAAAAAGGAGGTTTATGTGATTATGGTAATAGTCATAAAAATGAGCAGACAAAGAATAATTTAAAATTCATTTATTCATAACAGCAGAAGTTAATATTCTTCTTGCCGACAAAAGAGTTTCAGACATTAATCTTTTCTCCTGAATTTCTGCTATTCTGCAGAGCTAGTCTGGGTTGCTTCAGTATTACAGATGAACTAACTTGGTTTTCTGTCCTTTTTAGTCTCTTCAAAATGCTGGTTTTCCTTAAATAAATAATGCTGATTCCATGAAGATGGTATCAAAGCTGTCTTCCAACTTTCCTGCAGATTTATATAAGTATTTGAACAGAACACTGAATTCTGTTCTGTTTTGCAGCTAAGCATTTTACTCATACAGAATAAATCATTTCCCTACAACTGAAGATTTAACATTTAAGCAATTTAGCATATCCTGTCATAATCTGAGAATTTCTTGTTAATGGTGCATTTGCTTCGGGAACACAGGACTACTGTGTGTGCATGCCTGCTTACATATGTTATTTATACTATTTAAGTAAGGTACTGGGTTTTTTTTTTTTTTTTTTTTTTTTTTCTATTCTTTCTTTTTTGTGTGTGGCTTTTTTTTTTTTTTTCCCCTGATGATCCTCCTCTATTTTTTCAGCGTCTGTCTTATCAAAGATGGTTCAAACCTCCCTAAATGTAATTTTAAACTGAGCTCATAAAGGGCTGGCAACAATTTCAAATACTTAACTAGTTACTTGGGACCAAATTATGTACTCCCTTGGCCTGAATTTGTCAAAAGCCTTGCAGTTGAAAGCAGAAAAAAATTTGGCATGTAGCCATGAGAGAATTCAAGAGTGGAGAGTAAAGGCACAGTGATTCAGATTAATCTCTGTATTAACTTCACTGAAGCAATACATCTGGAACATATTAAAACAATTTTGCTATGTGATCTGTCAGCTATGTGCTATCATTCCAGAGAACAGCTCTTTAAAGCCCTGTCCTCCAGGTTAAATGAATTTAGCAATGGTGAACTGGCAGGTCACAGGAGATGCTTTTTCTTAGAGGTGTCTGTGGGGGGAATCTGCAGTTTATGGTGTTAGGCCCAATGCCTTTTCATGATTTTATCAGAGAGCTGAAGATACAGGAAAAATTGCTGTTAATAAATTTGTAGATGACAACAGGAACAGATCTGCTATAGAAATATGAGTGTCGAGAAGGCAGAAAATTTCTAAAGAGCAGTCTGGCCATTTGCCTTTTTCTTAATATCTGTTGGTTAATAAGAATCTTCTGATCACCCATGTCTTGTGTGTGTGTGTATGGAAATAACATAGTTCTATTTTTTGTTAAACCTTGGTGACCTCTGGCGGTCAAGAAGCTCACTAGTGAGCAAGAAGCATGCTCACTCTACCTGAGAGGTGCATAGCTGAAGAGGGGGCTTTGTCCTTTGGTTTAGACAGGGGTTGGATGAGACCACTCATTCGGGTTATCCAGATCCACTGGTATGTGCTCTACCTTCCCTGGCAATCTCTGCAGTTTTGGAAACTTGGCTGGTTTGAGCTGATTTTGTTTACAGCTTTGTTGAGTATATGGCAGGGGACCATTGCTCCAAGAGCTTTAAGGGAAGTGACCTTTTGGTTTATTCCTTGTCACATGCAGACTGTGAGAAGCAGAAACAAATAAGCTGTTGGCATCACAGTACTGATCTGAAGCGGTTTTGAGTTACAGGGCAGAAAAAAAGAGGTGAACTCCTGACTTGAAATTTATGGGCACTTGGTTACTTAATCTAAGAGAGTATTGTCTTCTTTCTGAGTCCTTCAGCTTCACCTAGTCACCTAAATCTAGATAAACATTTTTCAATTAAAAAAAAAAAAAAAAAGTGGTATGCTGTAACTAAAAGGGTAAAAAAAAAAATCAGTTCCAAAAATACACCCTGCCACAAAAAGAGACACCTTTCCAGAATGTAAGAAAAATCCCAACCAACAGCATGCACATCTGGCCTGCACATCATCATTCCTGTGATGACATCTAGTGTCTCCTTTCTTTGCTGCTTCTTTGCACAGGCAGGGAGACTGGCATTCCTGCTGGGACACCCCCAAAACATGCAGCCTGCAACAAGGGAAAAGGAAACAATTCACTGGGGTGATCAGCACTTGTCTAAGAGACAGAAACAGCACTTCTACCAAACCTCAAACCACATTGTCTGAGGTTTACATGGGCATTCTTAGTCTCTGTCCCTGGCTCACCAGGAGTGAGTGTGCTGCATGGCTGTGCTGGGGCTGTGATGCTGTTGTCACCCTACAGGGCAGGATGTGAGGGGCTCCCCAGCAGTGGTAGGAAGGGGCACTACATGCTTTTTTGCCATTTCACCCCTGCCTGGACTACCCCCTACTCCAGAAGCCTCTCAAGGCTGAGACCTGAGCAGTGTCCTTTGCACAAGACCTGCCAAGGGGCAAATGAGTTTCTCTGGTTGGCAGTGAAATTGGTGAAGAATTATGGTCAGCCCAACTGGAAGACCAAAGGCCATGCAGAGGTGCAGGAGCAGTGAGCATGCAGCAGTATCTGCAAGGTTTTCTTCCTGGAATGGGTAAAGCTTGGACAAGCTCACTCAGCTTCTGTGGGCTTGCTGCAACCAACCGTGAGACTGGAATGTACAGTGGTGAGGATAATATATTTCTGAAATAAGGTGTATTTATACAGGTTTCCATGTTGCTAAGCAGAGCTTAAGGAAAATAATCAACCAGTGAAGGCACATTAGTTTAGCCTTACATTGACCACAAAGATGAAATGCCTTTTTTAACAGTGAGCTATCACAGTGCCCTTACAGACATGGTACAACTGCCAGAGTGCAAGCTGAGCCTTATTGCTGGCCCAAACATCCCAGATCCAATTTCCATCTCCTTTGTTAGTTTATGAGTGGAAAACTGTCTTTCCCAAAGTTTTTTTCACATGTGTGGTTTGTCTGTCCCCCTTCCTATTCCACCCTGCCTTTTGGAGTTACTGATTTCCAGGTGAATCCTAAAGGCATGAAGGCATATCCCCTAGCCAGGGCATGAGCAGACTGGCAGCAGATCAGCTTCTTGAAGGAGGACAAAGAACTGGCTTCATTTACTAGTTATAGGGATAAATGCCCCTTCCCTCTGGAGTACATGTCCCAGTATAGATGACATTTCCAGTGTGTGATGTCTATGTTAGGTAAAGAGGGTGCAGCATTTGGTTTTTTGTTACACAGTGGGCTGAAGGTCTAATAAACCCCAGCCTGAGGGATTTGGACCACAACATCTCTCGTGGCAAGGGACTGTCCCACCTCCTTTCCCCTCTCCTCCACCCCTTGCCACGCCCTGTCCTGTGACGGGCATTCTGAAGATTGTGACACGCATGGGTGCCGAGGCGACAGTCAGCCACTGAGGCACAAGGGGGATTCCCACTGCCTCCAGGCCAGCAGGGAAAGTGCCAGCACCCTTGCCATTACTACAGGTTCACACAGGTGAGTTGGGTCCATACCACATAGGGAGGGAAGGAAGGATCCTGGGAGGCCCCCAGCAAGGCCACTTGAAGCCCCCAGCTACTGTTTCATGTTTGCAGCACACAGCCTCCTTGGTACAAGCCTGCCTGATTTTTGCTCTAGAGAGGTTCAGACCCACACAAGATTTATGTTAAATGGCAGTCTGCAAACCGCCTTGAGACCCAGAGCCCCTGGGTGAAGCACAGGGCTGTAGGAGAGGCTGAGTATTTCAAAAGGGTTCCAGGCCATCTCACAAGCAGCAGGAATCAGCTGCTGAAATTGTGGTGAACTGCTTTACAATCCGAGTGATGGCTTTTATGTTCTCAAGATTCCTGATACTTGGTTGCAGTGGTCTAAGTTGATCAGTAGTGGACCATTTACTGGTGGGGGGAGGAGAACAAGCTAATTCAAGGAGCAATTCAAGGGATGAAGTGTGATGGGGAAAGACAGGGACAACTGCTTGGTGGCTACTTGCAATGTCTGTGAGATTTAGGCAGTTATCTGGGGCTGGACAGGCAAATCTGGACTCGATTTATCATCAAATAACAGGCAAAGCATAAAACAGTTTAAAAATGCAAGTATTTGTTATTGAGACAGTTCAACTGAAACTTGTATTTCAGAGGTTCAAAAGGTTCAGCAGTCTTGAGTGCCCCATTCCTTCACATCCAGGGATCGTTAATTCACTCCACAGCCCCACCTTCACCCCTTCTTTGCCTCAGGTCCTAACCTGTCCTTCCCCCAATCCTGCCTGGATTCCAGGTGTTCTGTATCAACACCTGTGTGGTTGTCATGGTTGTCCCATGGTGCAGATACCTGTGGGTGGCATCCCTTGTTCTGTGGAAGACAAGGTGTGTTGGACATGGGTGTGTGTCCAGCAGCTCCAGATGGTCCTCAGCTCCTTCCCTGATAACTTATTTTCTCCACAGCAGCAAGATGTCGGGGGTAGAAAACACTTTCCGTAAATTTGCAATATACGGTGACACATCTGCCAGTGGCAACAACATGACAGGGAAAAACTTCTCCAAGATGTGCAAAGAGTGTGGAGTGATGGATGGCAAAGCCGTGACCAGCACTGACGTTGACATCGTATTCAACAGAGTCAAGTGAGTGTCACAGGGAGGCATGGTGGGCAGCACAGCCAGGCAGGAGAAGGAAATGGCAGGAGGCAGGCAGGCTCTCATGCAATGGGAGCCCTGGGGGTTCCCCATCCCACTACCACTGAGTGGTGAGGTAACATTCCTCTTGGTCTTTCCTTGCCATAGAACCAAAGGTGCCCGCACCATCACCTTTGCTGAGTTCCAGCAGGCCATGAAGGAGCTCTGCATCAAGCGCTTCAAGGGTAAATCACCAGAAGACGCACTGCAGGCTGTGTATGGCCTCATCGAGGGGAAGGAGCCCAGAAGCGTGGGAGCCACGGTGAGGATGAATTTCTTCACCTGCTGTGCACCTTGAGCTGCTATGGGACCATTCATCCCTGTTCTAGGGACATGTGGCTGTCCTCACATGCAGCAAAGAGTTTGTGAGGTATTGTTTGTGAGCTATTTCCTGATGTTGGCTCTATCTTGCTGCCTCCTTTCCTGCAGAAAGCCACCAAGGTTGGTGGGGTCGAGAGGCTGACAGACACTAGCAAATACACCGGCAGCCACAAAGAGCGTTTTGATGGGAGTGGCAAAGGGAAGGGTCTTGCTGGCCGCCAGGATCTGATGGACAACAGCGGCTATGTTGGAGCCTACAAAGGAGCTGGCACATATGACCAGATGCACTAGGACTGAAACTGTTCAAGGAAACAAGGACTGTTCTCCTCTAACATAGGAGAAGAGACAAATAAACATCTTGTGCAACCTGCCTTCTGCATTTGTGCACCCCAAATCTGACAGGGTGGGAATGCATGGGGTGGGCACTGGATGACTCAGAAGAGTGGTGCAGGTTCCCCATCTGACCATGTTTTGATTGCTGTTAAATTCAAGTACAAGCTAGCCTTGGCTAGGTTCTCCACTGCCATCACACTACTTTGCATTTTCAGTCAAGTGAACAGTAGCTTAGTCTCTGAATATTCACTCATATTTTTATTCTCCCCTCCTAACACACTATACTTTTTGCTGTGAATTTTGAGTTGGGGATCAGTGTGTGCATGTTTTTGTATAGCTACACTGGGTTACATTTGAGTTGGTGATTTCTGGTGACAGACAGCCCACCAGTGGTGCCTGACCACACCTTGAAGAGTGCTCTTACAAGGCATAGGAAGCAACATGTACCACACTCTGGAGAGAAAGGGGGTACCAGTAACACCAGTTCCTGATTTTTGCTTTCCCCCATGTTAAACCTTCTCACCCCTTCCTAGCAATTGGCATGGTCACTCATTACTCTTTCCCCAGGCTTCAGGATGCTGGTAGTTGGGGAAGTGTTTGTAAGCCTGAAGAAAGCAAATAAGGAGCTGCGATGCAGGGGATAAGGAAAGAGAGGAGGCTTATGTGGAGCATAGCAGGCTCTCTGTACTTGGGAGGACAGTTTGCAAGCTTGCCTGCACCAAAATCCTCTTCCGACCTCTCTTTTCCCCCTCTGCCTCCCAGCCCCACCGCTGTGGTTTCTTACAAGATATCTAGTGTTGACAAGACCTAAAATCACATGTGAACTTGTATTTTCCCCTTGGCATTTCAGCAGGCTGGTAGTACTAGCATGTCCCTCATCCCTGCTGCTGGATCTGTGGCTGTGTGCCAGTTTTGAGGTCTCCAGTGTGGGCACCCATCTAGGACACACTGCTGGGCAGCAGAGAGCTGTGGGGGGCTCCTTGGGTCTGTGACTGTCTCTCAGGCCACCAGGGCTGCCTTTCCTGCCAAGTGCGTTCAGTCTCCTAGAATTAGAATAACTGAGCTTTTAGGGATAACTGAAACAGTGCCTTTGGGACAGTTTACCCTGACATTATAGGGAATTACTTAGTTCTGCTACTCCAGACCAACAAGCCCTCATCATAGGCCATAACATGGGTGCTTAGGGCACAACACTTGCTCAGAGCACATTGCTCTTTGCCCTATGGCACTCAGGAATGTCCTCCTTGCTGCCTTAACCCCAGATAACATAGAAGTTGGGTGGATCTAGGAATTAATAAATCCCACTCACTTGCTCTCTCTTACACTGTCCTTATGTACAGATGACCTTTTAAGCTACTTTAAAAACAATCCATTGTGTCCTTAGGTGACTCATGTGTGTAAGGTGGTTTGGTGATTCTGGGATATGTGGCAGAAAGTCCTACAGAAAAGTGAGCAGGTGCCTTGGACATAATCGGCAGGGTCTTGGTAGCTAGGGACTGCAGAGGTGACCTGGGAGGAGGAGGTCACAGACTGCCCTGTACTGGTCCACAACCTGAGCGGGGCTGGAGAAAAGAGATATCACCAGCAAGTGCTGGAGCAAAGAAGCCCCCTGAGCAGGGGCAGACACACAGAAGACACCGGAGGAAATTTGACTCTAGAGATACTGTGACTTGTGGAGAAGACCACACCAGAGGACTGCAGTGAGAAAAAAGGACTAGTGAAAGAAGAGGAATCACAGTGGCTGATCCCACTCTCATGTGTTGTCCATGGCCTCCTCAAAGGCTCTGAGAGGATGGGAGACTGGGAAGAGGGCAGGAGAGGTGTCTGGGGGGGGAAGCCAATGTGTTTTCCCTGCGTGTTTGTTTAATTGCTTATCTTTATTTCTCAATACCAGAATGGATAATTTAAAGTTTCTATTATTTGACACTAAAATAAACTGTGAAATTCAGAAAAGACTGCTTCTTTGCCCAAGACAGTAGGAATGGGATATAGTAAAATGGAAAGAACAGGACTGGAACATATGTAAAACCAATAGGCCTTATGCCTGCCTTTTAGTTTTTTATATAACCCAGATCTTTAAAACACATGCTTGAAGTGTCTGCCCCATGGTACATCATGTCCTATACAACAGTTTAAGCAAAGTACCTGTAAATTAGAAGATAGAGGATGTTGTACAAAAAAGAAAAGCTAAATAATAATGACAGAACATTATCTGCTTTTGGTGGCATAGCACTTCTTATTTAAATACTGTCAACACGTAATTTCCACAAATACTGATATTTCAGAGCTCTTGAGATGCTCCTGCAAAAACATGGCTGAGAGGATGCAGGACTGTATGAGAGTGCCCTGGATTCGGACAGAGTTCTTTAACTGTTTTCTGTGCATTGGTGTGTAAGTCATAGACCCTTGATCTTCCCAGGACTGACTGATTTCATCCCCACAACACAGCAGTACATGGGGAGCATAGCTGGTGCATGTTATAGTGTAATTAAAAATATGGGCTTGAGGTTCTCCCACTATTTACCACAACTCCTTATCCCAAATGCTTATTAACACATGATGGGTAGTAATCAGCAGGGTCACGAGCTGATGCTTGGTGACCAAGCAGAAAGGTGTACCAGCTTCAACGGGCCAGTTTTCAAGCAAAAGAAAGCAGTCTCACAGCTGTATCAGTGTCTAGGTTTGGTGTGGCATCTGATGTCTCCATTTGTTCTAGTTGCACTTCAAACACTGGGATCCTTTCATTTTAGGGGAAAGGAAGACAAGGACTGCCCTTAATAACCAAGCAAACCTTGAGTGCATTTCTTTGTTCACTCCTCAGCTTCCTTGTAATTGAATAACTCAAGAAATTGGCCACATACAGTTGTGCAAACAAACACAGAAACGTGTGATATTATTAGGTTTTGTGAGGGTTTTAAAAAATAATAATAATAAATATATATATATATATATCTATCTGGCATAGAAAAAGCTGTGGGAGCTCTGGGAACAAACAGAGAGCTTTGTACTTGTGCAGTGTGAATTCTGGTTTGCATTAACTCAGGTACAATGTGACACTGAAGGATGAATTTCTGAGACATGATTCAATCTGTATGTCATCCTGTAATCTAACTTGTGTAGTACTCCAGCACCAACAAGAATCACTAGTTGTCCTCCCTATTCCTTATAAGTAGAAATCACAAAAAGATGAGAAATGCCATGCTCACTCCTTATGGCAGCTACAGAGGGACAGATAAAAAGAAAGCCATGACTGACTGAAGACTTTAAAAATAGTACTTGTTTACTGCATGCCCCTGGGCAATCAGTAGTATCAGTGGATATAAGATTGTAAAATAAATAGACATGCATGTATCAATGACAGAGTCAACAACACATTTGCAAAGGGAAAAAAAAAAAAAGAGAAAAAGAAAAAGAAAAAAAAAGAAATGAAAAGAAAAAAAAAAAAGAGCTTATGCTCTGGTGCATTTGGAGCCTGCAAATGTTGAGGCAGCTCCTCAGTGCAAGGTGTTTGTAGAGGGTCCTACTACACCACTGCCATCTGATACTGAATATCTGTACCATTTTGTATTTGCCCTCTCAAAGAGGCCACATCATCTAGCAAACCAGTCATACTAGGGGAGAGAGGTTAGGAGCCTTCCTCTTGGTGGTGGCTGAAGTTTATTGTGCATCACTACTCTGCTCTGTCCTTTGACCATTCAAGGGAGTGTGAGGGAGAAGGCTTGCTCTTGGTGCCCCTGTTGTAATTTAAGCACATGTTTACATAGTAATCAGAAGAATAAGGCCCATGGAACCTGCTAGAACAGAAATGTAGCTGCACGCATATATAGGGCACGGTTTGGCTGACTTACTGGCAACAGTGTAAATCTTTCTGAGACAAAATCACATTGATTATCTAAGTGTTTATAACCACCTATGGCTAAGATGTGTCATAGGTGTGGAAAACTAAGGAAGAAATGGCTCCACATCGCACACCTGTTCGGAAAAGAAACATCAAGCCAAATAGTCAATTCACAATTGCTCCAAAGTAGAATGAAAATACCTTCATGTCCTGCTCTCTGACAAGCTCAGTGAACTTGTTTCCCTGGTGCATCTCTTGATGTATCCCTGTCCCCACAGCTGTTCTCTTCCATGTAATTTCCTTGCTATCTTCTAGACATATGACTCAAGACCAACATCAGCAATTCTCTGCCAACTGGTCATTCCTTCAGGGTATTGGAGGTGTGATGTGATATACCAGTCAGAAATAATTTGATAACATTGATGAAATCTGCACACAAGTTAGAACAATATCTGAAAATTCAGCTGCAGTGACTGTGCAGTAAGATCTGAGGCAGGAGGGCAGGACATTATTGAACACAGGTAGGAAAGAATGACAAGAAACTACACACACGTGTGTGTGCATGTAATGTTTTTAAAGCAGTCTTCAAACTGCAAGAAACAGCTATGAAAGCCCTCTGCTACCTGTTCTGCCACTAAGGCATGCAGTTACAGTCTTAGCACTCTTGCTGTGCTGAAACTGGCACCATTTCACTTTAACAAAGCAGGAAGAAGAAAGAACAGATGTTTATGTCAATGCAGCCACTGTCTGGTGGCAGTGTGGCAGGACAGACAACTGAGCATCCATGCAAAGTAACACGCTGCAGCATGGGCTAATGGCTCACATGATTTTCTGTGATTTTCTCTTCTTTGCAAAGCTGTTTCTATTTTTGTTGTTGTTGTATCAGGTTGTATTTCTAACATGGAAGAGGCATGGGGAGCTGGCACTCAGCTTCCCAACCCACTGTTGCATACAGGGCGAACCAGATGAGCAGCTTTAGCCGCACCCAACATGGCAGTGGTTTGTTACAGTTAAGCAAGGGCTGGACCTAAGAGGCTCTTATCCTGAGCGTTTAAGGCATCTGTGATGGTAGACAGATGAAGGAAGTTAATGAACTGTGCAGTTATACTGGACCGGTCATCCAGGTACTATTTACATTTGAAGTTATGAACTTTAACAGCATTAGTGTCTCCCCAGCTAGCTCATTTCCTCTGCTTCTCTGGTTATTGAGAAATGTGCACATCTCCACTGCCTCAGGGAAGCAGTGGTTATACTTGGTGCAGAGTTAATTATATGCCAAGTAACCCAGTGGGTACTCTCCTCAATTAACACATATATGACAGAAATGAAAAAAGTATCCGCTTGGTGATAGATACACAGCACTAGTCTGGATTCAGAGAGCTCTTGGGTCGCTAGACTGTTGTTTTCTGTCGGGTTTGTGCTACACCAGTATGACTGTTGTTTCACAGGAATCCATGGTGTAATACAAGCCTGAAGGAAGACATGTATGCCATAGGCTTGTCTCTTTTTTTTTTCAGTATTATTAATTAATCTAATAGAAAATAATTTATTTCCCTACACACTCTGTCTTTCTGATACCTGCTACATGCTCCACCCTCATTTCTCTCCTTTTCCAGCTGCAGACCTTCACATGTTACCTGGCTGCCACAGTAAAGGTGTTTACATCTCAGCCCCCCAGCTGCTGTAGTTACGCAGGAGGCATTTAGCTGTTGAGTCTTGCTCATAAGCCCTACAAGCACTCCCCACTACTGCAAGGTGCTCGTCAGGGAGAGATGGGGCCCAAATGCAGTTGTGCCACTGTCTTGCATCGCACCATGTTGTGTAGCATTGGGACACACTGCTAGGGCATGGTGATTCTGACTCGTGAAGTGGCTCTTTTCCATCTGAGTCTATGATTGCTTTAAGTCCAGTATTTTCTTCAAGATGCAGATGGTGTATAATTTTCCTCTTTTTCTTCTCTTTCTGCATGACCTACAGGTTTTCTGTCCTCACTAAACTTAGGGCTGGTAATTATAATTGCTGTCTTAATGTTCTCCTGTACTATTCAACCCAGATGCCATTCTCACTGCTTCTATGCACGTGTGGTAGATATTCTGTATCTTTCTGCCTGCAAACCCCCACTGCTGGTATCACATAAAAGACAGAGTCTCAGAAGTGTTTGTTAACCATTCACGACTAACTGTTCACAACACAAATCGTTGATTTGTCCTGAAATGGAACTTTGCTCCACAGCAAGCAGCAAACTGACAAACAAGTTCCTCCTTACTGCCCTGGCACAGAATTGGCTGGTGCAGAAGGGAGAGTGGCAGAGATGCTCGGGCAAGGGCTCTGGTCTCACAGCGTTCAAGTATTGCTGCTGCCCGGCAGGGCCGGGCTGTACCACTGCCTCAGCACAGCCCGGCTGCACAGGCCCCTTGCAGGTGCATCAGTGTCCTGGTTCAGCCAGGATAGAGTCAAGTTTTTCCCCAGCAGAGAGAGAGGGGGAAGGGATCTCCAGGCGGGTTATTCATACCATGCTGATGTCAGGTCCAGGGGTGGAACCTTTCCTTGCTCTTTAGCGGGCTCGGTGAGGAACCTTTCTTTCCATAGACCAGCTAGCAGTATTTCTCTGTATATCGTTTGTCTTGTTCACTGTTATTGCTGTTTATTGTTGTGACCATTGATGCTGTTGTTATTCAGATTGTTCTATCACTCTGTTGTATTAAATTTCTTGTTATTTTAGCTGGGGTCTGTGTTTAACTTCCAGCCTGATGGGCGCGGGTAGGGGAGGGGCAACGGCAACGTGCTCTCCGATCCTGCAAGGCTTAAACCTTGCACAATCAGGCCTGCAGTCTGACTGTGACAATTTCAGGTGTGAACATTATGCGTATTTTTCACTGTCTGATTAAAAGTCCCCTTTCTGCATAGCATGTGAAGCAGGTGGAGATTGCACCAGGGTTTTCAAGAAGTTTGGCTGGCTCTTTATTGGAAAAAGTGCATGGTCTCCCATACTCTGAAAAAACTCCATGATTTAGTAGATGAGAGTCCTAATCAAAGCTGTAAATACCCTGTGTTTTCCTTCACTGAAACACCCATTTAACATGTTCTTACCTGCTCCTTCTCTGAGTTACTCACACCAGCCTCCCTTCTTCCATGCTGCAGTTTACTGCCCCTTAACTGCTGTGATAATTGTGGGTCTGTGCTGCTGAATGGCATTTCTGATACAAGTCAATATAAAAATAAAGATAAGTAAATCCAGACAGCCAAAAGAGAAAAGCCCCTTCACATGGTCGACGGGGCAGTCCCACAAGTGGGAAGGTAGAATAACTGGGCCAGATTTGCTACACAAGAAAACAACCACAGAAGTACAGTGCAAGTCAATCACTAACTGATCCCCACCAAAGGTAAGTACCTGATTGAAAAGTTTGGCCTTTGTTGTTTATTATTCAGATTCACATTCAGTCCCATCCAGTCTTTGCTTTCCTGAGGACTTGATCTTGCAGCAAACACTAAGATCTCTCCGCTGTTATTTCAGAATACCTAGAACAGAATACCTGCACCTTTGGAGGAGGCTCCATGTGGTATAATGTGACTTAAATCCTCCATAGCTGATACCTGCAATGCAGAAATCCCTGGAGAGCTGACACACCGCACCGACTCCTGATACCTCTAACCTTCCAGGTCAAGCACAGTATTGTTGAAAAGCAGTATCTTGGAAAGGCTTAGGTGTAATAACAACACACATATTTTGGGAGATTTTCCTGCTAGTCCTAAATAGCTCCAAAAGTAGCCCAGGCTTCAGTGGGCTTATCTGTCATGTCAGGTAGCTGTCAGTGTCAATACGGGAATCTCAGTCTTCCACAACAATCACAGTAATTCAGTAAATACATATGCTCTGCACAGCATCAGCATTTTTAAGGAAAGCACTTAAAGAATTCTTGTTAAAACAACATATTTTGTAAAACAGCCTCTTTAATTTCAATTTTAAAACCTAATCCATTTATGTCACAATAGTTTATATTCTTGCTGTAAACTTTTATTACATAATAGTGAACTTAAAAATAATCAAGTAACACCAGAAAGTGACATTCACTCCAAAGAGAGGGGAAGAAATATTCCTACAGTTTTGTTCTATCAGATAACACCTTTTAAGAGAGAGAGAGAGAGAGAGAGAGAGAGAGAGAGAGGGAGAGGGAGAGAGGTGTATATCAGAGAAACTGAGTCTGGTCACTCGCTAGCTAGTAGAGATATGTGCAATTTGTTTATAACTAATATCCCCATGAACATACTAATTGCACAAGTAGAGGTAACAATTTCTCTGCAACAGGATTAAACTGGCAAAACACCTACATATAACTATGGCTAACTTATAACGCAAGCTGTTCTTGTAGAAAAATGCTTCTTAAAAACAAAAAATAAATCACCTTCAATATAAGTCATGTTTGATCACATTTGAAACATGGTCTATTGTACTCAGTATCTTTCAGTAGCATGTGCTTTCTGAAGTGTCTCACATTGGACACCCAAGATTGAACTACTAAAAATCACCAGGTACTTTTTGAAAAACAGACCATAAATTAGTAAAAAGAAAAAATCCTACATTTGTTTATAGTAATCTCTTTTATGAAAATAATTTCACACTTTTTCACTGTAATTGCCCACAGCTTCTTTGCTAGAGAAAAAATATCACTGCATCTCTAAGAATACCCTGTTCACACAATTAAACATGTATGCCCTAATCAGCCATGTGCAATAAATATATCTATCTATCTATCTATCTATCTATCTATCTATCTATCTATCTATCTATCTATCTCTAAATCTTACTCTTTGTGTTCTTCTAAAATCTCTATATCTAGTAGATGCAATGTATGCAGATTCCTGAGATATTTGTAAATGCCAGTAAAGTGGCTGATTGTGAGAAATAAGTGATAGAAATTTTGATATCTATAATATTTAAAATGAGATTGGACAAACAAAGTGTAAGAGTGAAAAGAGAATCAGAAGTTGATGACATTATTTGTTATTACCATTGCTATACTTGCACATTAATGGAGGTGCATTACAAAAAGAGTGATAAGATAAATACATTTTCCTGAGATGCTCACAAGGGTTAATAACAGGACAAATACTAACACTCAGGAGTGGGCAAAAGTAAACTTGATGTCCATATGCCTGGTTTAAAATATTTGAGCTGGGGTGAAATTTAGCTGTAGAGGTGGTAAGGTGTGGTGAATTCTGACAAATGCTTTTCAAGAAAGGTTTGGAAAAGACAGAAATGATTCCTGCTCTCCCTGAGAGATACATGGAAAAGGTATCTCTGGAGAAGGCTGAAACAGTAGAGAGAAAGAAAGATGGTGCTCTGTCACCTTTCACTGTACAGCTGTCTTTTCAGGAATGCAGTGATGGAGTTTATGTTAAAACCCAGAATCATTGTTTTAGGTGATGATATGTTTTGTTCCAAGATGACAGCAAAATCATCAATTCCAAAGTTTCACCGGGAAAAAAAAAACAACAAACCTCCCTGAGGGACAGCTGGACTTTCACACGAGATGAAGAACGAGAGAAGCTGCTCATATTTAAAGGCAATGATGATGTTAGAAATTTACATCTCCTTATTCTCTGCCTACATTACTACTAAGAATACAATTTGGTTTTAATGGGGCTTGGGGGTAAAATCAAACATGCTGTCAGTCAAAGCGACTCATTTTCACAGTGAATTTTCTTCACAGTGAGAAATGTTTATGCTATCCTTCCTTGGAGAGGGGGAAGTCTGGAACAACTCAATGCATTTGAGGGCTAAGAATATTAATTACAAGAATCTAAATTCCAATATGCATTCAAATACAAGAGAGGAAGAGGGCTGAAAGACATTAAAAAGGCCTTACATGACTGCAAACTGTAATGTCAATAACACTGTAAATAAAATGAAATGGAATGTAGAGAAAGTATAAGCATCTGCTCTGACGTCCTTGCTGCTCATTTTGGGGCCTCTCCACTTTAAACACTCTATTTTGGGGCTGGACACTGCACAGAAGGCAAGAAAAGTCAACCAACCCTACAAACACAGGGTTTAGCTCTGAACTTTGCAGGGTGAAAGTAGCAGTACAAAAATCAAAGTAGTTTGGTTTCAGAAACTGAACTGCTTCTCAGAGGGTCCTGGCTGGAGGCAAGGAAATTGTTGGTCTTCGTGCTGTTAGTGGGAAATGTCGTAATAGTAATTACGTAATCTCAGCTCGACTGCAACAAATCCTGGTCGGTCATCAACACTGTGGAAAGACAACAAGCATCATTGCATAGGAAGGAGAAAGCTGTTAAGGTCTTGTAACCCTTGGGACTTCATCTCTGTGTTAACTCATTTAAAGCTGCTCACAATATTTTAAGGCTACCAAAATGATGCCACAAAATTAATATCAAGTGGCAAATGTCACTACAGACCATCCAGTCAGTGGATTTACTATCATGCCTGTGACTTTGTGGTTGGTGAAAGTACTGCAAGGAAGAAATGGTAAATCAGCTCCATTTCATTTTCTAATTCATTTACTTTGGTAATAATCTAGATAAAAGAGTATTTGCAATGAAATACCTGCTTTATAATGGGTACTACAGTCATACAGAGGGGCTTAGCACCACTGAGAGGAGCCTACACTACATGCATACACTATATGGCTGTACTATCTTTCTTTCCTTTGTATCTGCAACTCTGTTGAATTGGAAGAACACAACTAAACTGACAATAAGCCCTTAAAATAATACATTATATATTGAGATAGTTACACTGCCTGACTTGAGCTTTCTTTTTTATTTTTTTCTTTCTTGCTAATATTAATAATATTTGAGTATAAACAAATAAAAAGCCTCATGCTTTATGATTATTAATCATAACAAAAAATTATCCCTTTCACTCTAGAACTGTTATAGCATTCTTTGAGTCAAACCAAAAGGCAGAAATTATTTTATGGCTTCACATTCGTTCTAGACTACTAGGTGTAATAAAACTAACAAAGAAGCAAGGCGCCTAAAAGTGAAGTACCACAGCTCCTTAAATAGCATCCAGAGATCTTTTCTGAACACACATATTCTCCAGATGGTGAGCTGGAAGAGTAAGTGACATTACAGTGGACTTTGACTGCTTTATGGAGACCTTCCTTTAGCTAAAAGTAACTTAAAATAAATAGTTTAAAATTATAAAAGATAAAACATTTTAAGTATATATTTGCAATATTCTAATTTTGAAAGAGTATCAGGCAGGCTTTCTTTTTTTTATATTTCTCTGTATTTCATAATTCTAACTTCTGAGATGTTATCGATCAGAAAAAATGTTTCTGACATATTAGGTGCGATCTGAAATGATGTGTTGCCCCTCAGTTTGCCACTAATAGGAAATCAATTAGGATCCAATCTGAGTATATTCAGAAATGAGAGAAGAGAAAAATAGGTCAAAATAATTAATTACTGAGGAATGAAATAAATAATTTGGCAATATGACTTTGAAATTTCAGTAAAGTCTTGAAAATGAAAATTAAAGAAAATACAATCCAAAATGAAATAAAGTTATTTGCTTAATTTCAAACTTTCTTTTCAAAATACATCAGACTGACTTTTTTGCAGAATTATTTGGGTTTCAGGATACCCTATTTTTCCAGCAAAATCAGCTGTGCAAAATCAGCTTCTTGTAGTACACTCAATAACTCAATTTTCACTTGAAACTGCAACTGATTCCTTAGTTTGGAGGTTGTTTGCAAGATAAACACCAGCTGAAATAATGTATTTTGAAATACCCTTTCTCCCTTCTCCTTTATAGCTATTAACTAAATAGATTAAAATACACTTCTATTAAAAGAGAGATCATCACATCACACTCACTTGTATGTCCAACACAATTTCATTAGATCATAGAGTTCTGTTGGACAGACTTCAGGACGTTCCATTCGTTCTCCTCTTTCGATCATCTGTGCAACTTCACCACCTTTCATTCCCTGGAACAGGGTGACCAGAACAGTCATCCAGGTTGCAATGGTTACAGCACACATGCTAATATAAAACATATAAAGGTCCTGAATTGGTTTTTGGGCTATCTTTTGACTCACTTGTTGCAACAGATGGGGTGCTAAGGCCTGCTTTGGCCCCCAATAACCCTCTCAAGGTAAGAAAAGGCATTAGTCCAAATTTGCTCTGAATTTCAACAGAAAAAAAAAATGGCAGATAGAACTACTCACCTTATATGGTTTTTGCCCATAAGAGAAAGCTTCCCACATTAAAACCCCAAAGCTCCAAACATCACTTTTGCTAGAAAATTTGTAGAAATTCATGCATTCTGGAGCATACCATTTGACTGGCCATTTTCCATGACTTTGTGCCTAAAATAAGTCATAACAGAAAGGAAAAAAAGCAGGCTAGAGACAGTGGCAAGTAGTAGACAACATCAGAATTCATATAAGCCAAGTTAACTTAGATCTGCACACATTTGTACTAAGTACCATAACATTTCTGATGCAGTTGGCAATAAAGAGAATGGTTAGTAGCTTCTTCAACAATGTTACAAAATTGCTCCTAATCTTCCACTTTCAAAATAATGCACTGAAATTAAATCTATGTTCAAGCAAAGCTTCACTAAATGACCTGGAGTCATGATTTTAGTGTCATTTAATTTAAAGTTGCTCTTTAAAAGTAAGATTTTTCATCTAGATTCTCCACAGAGGGTAAGAGATACACACCCAGCTACACTGAGTCTCATTACTACTTGAAGTTGATGCTCCATTTCAAAGCACAGTGACAGCCTTGTGGCAAACTGCAGTTTGATTAAATTATGCCATAACCCTGTGCTATGACAATGCAAGTGTCAAGCTATCCCAGCACTAGATCTAGTGAAAGAACCCCACTGCATTTTGTGCAGTTGTAAAGGGAATGGGCCTTTGATACCAATTCTCAAACCTCCAACAAGCAGTTCTGGCTGTGGCAGTGATTTAAGATGTCACTGCCTTTTCTGGCAGCTGTTACTATTCCCATAGGAAGGTCATCAGAATGTGCTTGCTTCTCCTCTGCAGCATTTCATGGTCTGGCTTATTAGTTTTAAACAGCTGATAAAAGGGAATAGGCAGAAGGAAGAAATAATTTGAACTGAAAAGCAATATATCAGAAAAAAAAACATGCAGACACAATTAGAGCCTTTGTCTCCTGTGGATGTTTTTACCTTATTAAATGTGGCAATTATTTCAGTCCCTTTAGCTGTACAGAGATCCAATGAATTTAAAACCAACCTAAACAAATTCTGCTTAGATCAAATGATTATTTACCAATGGTATTTTTTCAAAAGCTTCCCCAAATTCAGTTCTGTTAGTCACAGTGTGCCAGTCTAAATTTTCCCTGGACATGGTGAATACCATAAGTGCCCAAAAGTTCCTATCTGCAGCAAAGACACTTTCCCCCTTTTTTATTATAAGGAGGTATTTAATTTCCACATAAATTTCCACCTTCTAATGACAAGTTTTCCAAAGGTAAATGAAAGAAGTAAGCAGATAAAAGAAGTTAGTATCTTTTTCCTTCTTACCTATCTCTTAATGTTGATCACACATTTTGAAAATCAGTGACCTAGTATCAGGCTACAAAACAGTGGATGATACATATTCATTCTTATTTTTCCACTGTTAAAAACAACTGCAATTCAACTGAAAATAACCTTGTTAAGCCATGCTACTATACAGCTTTCACATCTTGTGCAAACCTTACCTTATAATAATTTTCATCAGCACTAAGAGCTTTAGAAAGTCCAAAGTCACTAATTTTGGCATAATGTTGGGTGACTAATAGCACGTTCCTTGCAGCCAGATCCCTATGAACAAAGTTATTCTCCTCCAGGTATTTCATCCCCATGGAAACCTGATGTACCAGCTCTGTTATATTCTTCTCCGTGACATGTCTGAAAATCATAATTGAATTTTTAAGAGGTCAGGAGTTCATTTTCATGACTTTTCATGGAGTTCAAATATAAATCTTTACTATGAACTTCCTCACATCATACTAGGAACCCGATCCACATTTAGCTAAGCTTTAATTAGAACAGGCAGCATAAGAACATCCTGAGCAAGATGATGTGTGATCATATCAATAAATGAGCACCTGAAGAACATGTGAAAATTCTTTCATTTATTTAAAATGCACTATTTTACCAGAAATATTTGACACTGAGGAGACATATACAATATAATCATGTCCTAGTGAAGAGTAACTACAATCATTAATTGTTACATTAACAACACATCAATTTAAAATTGCCCTTAAAGAAGAAAAAAAAAAAAAAAAAAGAACCTGTATCTTTTTTCCCCTTTGTATAAATCCTATGAAATGGAATCAAAGCTTACATACCTATTTTTTTGCAAAAATTTGTTCAGTGGCCCAAGTTCAGCCATTTCCATTACTAACATCCAGGCCTCAGCTTCACATATGCCTATCATGCGGACAATATATGGGTTATCCAGCTGCTGCATTACATTTGCTTCTCTCAGTAATTCATCCTTTATGGCTGGATCATTACTCTCATTCTTAAGAATTTTTACAGCCACTGGCTTGGCACCCCTACAAAAAAGAATCCAGTTCTGGGATTAGTTGCTGAAAAATCTGTGTGCAAATGCACACAATCTTATCTGATATTTCTGTGCACATAGTACAAAGTGTGACAAAAGACAGAATTGACATTCCGAGGGGAAAAAACACAACTGTAACAGGAGCAGTTCTCTATCAAATGTTCAGAAGACAGATAAGCAAAAGTGAGAAAATGGAAAGAACCTGAAAAAAAATTAAGTAGTCATAAAAACATCTTAAGTCTGAAAATAAATGTACCGGGCAAAATTTTCTTGCCCATTTTGGAATGAATATCATAAAGATTCTCTGGCAAGAAAAGCTTTAAAGGCCTTTCTAAGCACTGAGATGTTTTGGGGTTGAGACTAGAAGAGGCAGCACTGCAAGGCCCCAAGGCAGTGCTCTGAAATCCTGAGAAATTAAGCCTACTCCTGCAACCTTCAGCTCACACAATCAAGTGAAAGAGTGACTGATGAGATCGACAATGCTCAAGTGTGAAACAAGATTAGCAAATATGCAAGTTGGGACCAGACCAGAGCCCTTTAAATTTCCTCAGACTCTACTAGAAAAAGAAAAATCCTTTCTGGCTCCAAAAACCTTGTTTAAAAAATGCCTCCTGCTTCAGGTGGTGAAAGTGTATACATAATCAGCCCATGCACTTAAACAACACACTGATAACATTTTACTAAGAAAATGCATGAACAGTCAGGTGCTCCCACTTTTGCCAGTATAACAGGGTCTGTTCCTACTGGAATTACAAAATAAAAGAGGTCACGACATGGTCTATCTTCTTGAAAATCAACATTCCAGCTTCATGAAACAGGTGTTTATCATAACTATTTTAGGTGAAAATTTCTTTGCTACAGGTAAGCTGTCCAAGGCACTCTACACTACTTCTCAGAGGTTGTGCAGATAGGAAATACTGAGTACCAATGGCTGACCATACAGACTATGGGGGAAGTCAGCAGACTTCCCACTCTGCTATCCCTGACAGGAGAGAAAATAGTCATAATGGGTGCTTCCCCACTTTACTGACAAAAATAATGGCTGGGAGGTGACTATGCTGCAGGCAAAGAGGTGTCTGCAACCAGAGGAAAAGAAAATGAGTGTCTAGAAAAGTGTATGAGTGTATGTACAAAGAGAGAAACTGGTGAACGTTACCCCAAATTACTTAGGTACAATCTGTCACCCCAAATGACATGCAAAGATTACTGCTGCTTTGAAAAATAAAGGCTAGAGCTTTTACATAATAGACTCCATGACGATAGAAGGAAATGCTTACTTTTTCATCTTATAGAATCCTTTCTTTACAGTACCAAAGTTGCCAGAGCCAAGTTCGCCTTCCTCCAAGGTTAACAATTTCCTGTCAAGAGTGACATTTTTTGGTTTCATTTCATCTGGATCAGCATATGGACTTTCATAGACCTCAGTATCCATGGGTAAGGCCTCTCTCTGATCACCTGCAGTTCAATCAATGAAAAAATTAGACATGTGAGACATTTTTTCTGTCACAGCTACTATATTCACCCTTTTTATGTTCAGGATCATCAGTGTGTTTGACTTCCAAGGGCATTATAAAGAAACCACACACGGTCCAGCTACAGGCACTTTAGTACATGCCAAAATAGAGTGATCTCCACCTGGTGACATGCTCTAACTGTTGAGCATCTGCATAACATGAAACCAGCAGGTTCCTTAACAGAAGGAGGGTCAAAGGCTGGCCCTTCTCCTTAGTATCTCCCATTAGTTACCTCAGACAATTCTTAAGTCAGAATTCTGTCTTATATGTAGCTCATTCTTATGCACCCATCTTTAATTGCATTTTACAGAAATGCAACAGGGCACAATTCCTTTTATGAAGTGCAAGGATGCAGCTTTTAGAGTCAATGAAGTAATAATCTTTCACTTCAACATGGAAAAGGGGATTGTTCCTAAACAACTTTTACTACAGATGGTGACATCTGGCACTTTCAGCTACCAGTCTTGAGCTGTGACAGTGGCTATACCAATACACAACATGGTGTGAAATATATGCAAGAAAAAAGAAATATGGGTTGAGATTTCTGACATAAAGAAGGAACTTTTATTAATAACATGAATTACTCTGCCTACCTTTTTCTGCTCCTGTAAGTCCTCTCTTCCTTTGCAGTACATAAGGATTAAAAGGTGCTTCATCAGGTGGGTGGCCAATAGTTGGCTGAAGCTGCAGCACACAAACAGAAATTTATGTTTAGCAATGAATAGGTAAGTTAAAAGCATTTTTTCCCCCCAAGGATTATGGCATAATGACAGCATGAGATGCATAGGTGAGAATCAGAAAATAAGAAAAGGATCCAACAAAGTTTATTTCATTATGGAGGTTACTGCTTGAGTAAATATGCAGGCCAAATGAAACAAACACTGCTAAAGCACAGAAAGTTATTGCAAAATTTCAGAACATTTGACTTGAGAGAATTAACTGGAATGGGTAATGCACAAATCTTATTCTGCAGATATTAAATTTACCTGCTCATTTCAAATCATCCTTGTAACATAAGTAGTCATAAAGATTTCACTTTAATCTGTCTTTCCGCCCTCTCCAAGTTATCCATACCTAGGCCATAGAGAAATTCCTAGCACAAATGTAAACAAAAAATACTTCCTTGTTTCTCCTGTGGATGTTATAGAGTGACTCCACTTGGAAGAAACTGGAGTAAAAAATAATTATTTTAATAGGCTTGTGTAACATCATGGACAAACATCATGGACCAGACACTACTAGGCCAGTCTGTCTGCTCTGAGGAGGGAGAAAATGACCTAATTCTTACTGTACTTGTACATCCAGTTCAAACACAATCCCTTTATCAAAGGCACACAAAAGGCTATGGAGCACAAAAACCATGCCAGCAGAAACATGGTGTGTTCTGGAGCTCCTTGGCTGAAGGATGAGTCTGGCACAATAGAGTACAGATGAGAGAAATTTACAATCCACTCTCTTGGCAGGAACAGGGAATTACAGAATTTATCTCTCCAGTTTAGTCCCTTTTCTTTCTCAGTGTAGAAACTACTCCTGAGTGATCTCACCCTCCTAAGAGAGTATTTTAAAACCAGAAATTCAAACATCAACATGAGATTGCTCAGCTCAAATAGGAAACAAAGGTATATTGGACTTGCAAAACGCTGGATAAGGGCTGTTTTGCAAGTATTTGAATTTGAAATTTGAATTTGAAACTGAAACTTTCAGTGGCATAAGTCCCTGATGAAACAGTTGTGGTTTTCAAGTAAAGAGAAACAGAGCTTGAGAAATGTCCAGGAGTGAATTATTGGATGCAAAAGAAATTTTACCACTTGGAAACTGCATTTTGTAGGGAAAATGCCCAATACAGGGGATATGAACCTTAAACCATAATGAAGTGATTTGCCCTGTTGGATGAAGCAGAAAAGGTTTCACTACATAGATTTTTAGAGTAAACCCTAGAAGGCCAACACCCAGCAAGAATCTGGCTGAGTGGGATGAGCATGGTGGCATCGGGGATGGTATGGGTAATGTTTCTGACTCCATCTTGTGGAAGAGTGTTGAAAGGCCATTTGCTGTCAGGGCAAGCCACGAGAGCCCTGAGACGGTTCTGAGACAGGTCAGAGACCAAACTGAACTGCCAATCTCAAGAACAAAGAGGCTAATGAATGGTATGAAACAAGATCCTCAGCTCTTGATTTGTTTGTCTAGCTTCGTATACCCTGCCAGATCTGCAAGTTAAGAACTGTATTTCCAAGACCTATTTCACACACAGGTCATTCACTAACCCAAAAAAACCCACTAAGATTGGAACTCAGTCCTAAACATCTCAAAGTGATAGGCTAGCAGTTTCACTGTGAACACTTAGGACAGTCTTTCCTTACACTATGTCAGGGAAATGCTTAGGTTCATCCAAAATGTTGACCATCTTCTGCAAAGCAAAACCAAATCAGTTGAAATTATACTTACTGAGATCACAGTGATTTTAGTTTGTGCATTTCATATACCCTGTATTGCTTCAGAACACATCAAGAATAGTTAGGGGTTTTTATCTTACTGTTAGTTAATATGACCCATTCAGTATTACCACTAAGAAGTGATTATAGTTCCACTGGATAGCTGATAGCTTCCTGGATGTATTCTTGCTTCCTACCTTAACTATATTTATACTTTAAAAGGGAGATCACTTTACATTTCAAAAGGTAATTGGAATCAATTAACTGAGTGGATACAAAGTAGTGTGTACTGCTATTAGTATCTGTTCCTAGACAGGTAACAAATACAAAGGAAGCACGTGTGAATTGCCACATTGCATGAATTTTATGGAAGCCTCTGGTTAATACTTCTTGGCCAAGGGGTCCAAAAGTAGAGAGGGAGAAAAAGGATAAAAATACGGTGACTGCCTAAGAAAGGGACTGAGATGCTGCGTCTAAGTTTCCAAAATACTCTAAGGAAAGTTCTGAAATACTTAGGAATGATAGAATCACAGTTTAAAATTATACCTTTTGCATACTTTACCTTGAAAATAGTATTTCTGAAAAAAAGCAGTGTGTTCATAAAATGACATCTAGAAGTGACTGCATTGTTCTGGGATTCCTTTGTTTTTTAAAAGTTTTGATAGGACTATCAATTGTCTTCTGTTTACTGTGGGGAGTACCTCAACTGTGCACCAAAAACTGTGAGAGGAATATCGAACCCAAGTCTTGAAATGTCCCACAACACACACTACATTTAAAACACTGAAACCTTTTCTGTAGTCACAATTAGGTAAAGACACACTGGTGTAGCTGTAGCTCCAAGTGAACCAATGAAGCATGGCAACTTCACTTTCTTTCTTTCTACAGTCAGATGCTGGATAGAGTTTGTGTAGTTGCTGTTATATGATGAGGAATATAAACTCAGACCACAGAAGGGTACAACTTCATCAGATCCTCCTCATTTTAAGATGAGTAAAAAGACCATGCCACTTTTCCTCATTGTAACCAAAGCTTATAAGAAGTGAGACAAAAACACTTTGGGAAAGGCCTTTGAAAACGATAAGCTCAAGATTTCAAATGGACTTGGAACTTACAGTTCGAAGAAGTGATGCTTTTTTTATGGCAATATAACCCTGCAGGCTGAATCCTACCGATTCTACTGCAATACCTTGTATAGGTCTGATAATAAGCTTCATCTGATTGCTGCTCAACAGCAGGGCAGAAATACCTAAGTAGTACTCAGTCAGCACTGGATAAGCCCACAAATTTCAAAAAACTTGGAGGGCATAAGGTCTCATGTGATTAGTATTAGCTGCAGACTAGAGAGGTAGTTAAATATCCACAATCCTAGGTCTCAGTGTATGAAGTGGCATACTTTGAACTGGCCAAACAGAATTCACGTACAGCAAATTCATACATCTAAAAAATTCATTCACTAGTGCAGAACAGCTGGTAAAAGTATAGCTCTGACCATGACAAAGCTGACTCCTCAGATGGGATATATAGAGACATTTCTGCTCTTTGCAATTCAAGAACAAAATAAAATAATCAAAAAAGATTGTATGCTCTTGTTCACAAAGTGCATTTAAAAAAAATGAGTGCATCACTCCTGTGCTTGTGAATAAATCTCTGCAGCTGTGAATTGGAAATGACAGAGTGACACAAATTCTAACAGAATGCATTCTCTTTCTCAGAGAGCTGCTCATCTTACCTGTGTTGACTTATATGTATGTGTGGAATGATATTCCTCACTGTTGCCGTTGATTAAAGAGCTTAACAATGGCTTCTTCATTAGTATTTCTGGTTGAACTGCCATTTGATGTTTCACAGGCACTTTTGCAGCTCATATTAGTAATTTGGGAATATTATGCAGCACTCAGAAAACCTCAAACATTTTTCTTTAGTTCTGCCAGTTATGTATTCCGGGAATGTAGTTCCCTGCGTGACTTTGAAAAAGATTTTCTAGAACAAAGGTTGGAATTTTTTTCTTGAAGTCAAGCAAGATAGACCAGAAATGGTGCAGGACGTATGTATCATTGCCTGTACATTGTCTGTGTAATGGTACAATAAAATTTCCTTTTAATTTGACAGTTGTTTAAACCCAAAGTCCTTTCTGCCCTACACTTTAAAACCAGCAAGTTTAATTCTGCATATATTTTCTGACAAAGGGAGTTTTGTCTTAATACAACCAAGGTAGAGGGTAAGAGATTACTCCATGTATTCTTACAAGAAGCAGAGAAAGGGCAAAATGACCATGAATTTACTCATCCAGTAAAAAGGAATACAAGAAAAGGAATGCAAGAGTCCACTAGCAGAGTCTGTTAAAAATGGCACATTATGTGTCACTTTGTGGTACGTACACTTGCAAACTATGGGGCAGGCTGTTGGAAGCTGTTGTGAGCCTGTCTTGTTTTCACATGGACATACTATTTTTTTCTGCTAAGGTTTAATTTTCATTGGCTAAACCCCTCAGGTACCCATAGTTAAGCTAATCTAAATGTGTCATTCCTCTCCTTATTAGGGACTGGCTGTACTAGTGTGGCACTTTTCTAGTAATATAGCCCCATCTACAATGAGAGGAAAGCAGAAGGCAGAGAGGTTGCATTGACACAAAGATATGTAAGTAAAAGGAATACCACTTCTGTGCATGGATATGGCCTTAGTAGGATAAGCCTTAAGCAGGTTTGATACCATCTAGTTGATGTAATGAGAACAAGACCCACTTACTGTTGGCTTTAAAATATGACTGAAAAGGCTCTAACTACTCTGATTTTTATAGTAAAGATTATAAATTTTAGTAAAGAAAATACTTATGAAAGCAATCAGTATAGCAAGTGCCATTTCTTTTCAGGTTAATAATACCGATTTGCACAACCCCAAACGTATATGTAGGACTATAAAGTCGTCTTATTTTACTTAATCAAACTGAATAGCAAAACACTTTATGACAAAGACCCTATCAGCCAAATCCTCAATGAGCTTTGGCTAAAACATCTTATCGCCACTAGGTGGCAAAAGCTCATTTAAATTATCATCTAAATTGCCAGTCTTACATTAGTGAGTAAAACAGATTGAAAAATTTTGAACTGAGTGCTAAAATTATATAAAAATAACCAGTTTATGACACTTAACAAACCCAAAATTTCCAAGACCATAAATTTTCCTTTTTACTGTCTGAAAGTTTTTGACATAAGAGAGGTAACTGTTTAATTAACCAAGTCTAAAGAAAATTCTGCCTGTTGGAGTTAATGGATGGTAAATCTTGGAAATGTTCAGAGCAGAACTTTTTTTTAGAGTCTAAAATTTGGCAGTATGTTGAAACTTGTGGGTTTGAGTATTCAGGGTTAAGTACATGTAAATGGTGATCAAATCAGATTTCTGAAATTATTTTCTTAAATAATTGATCCTTCTCTGCCAGTATGCTTCACTCTGTACTCTGTGTATGTTCCCAGAAGGCAGGAAATAGGTATTTCACTGCAGAAAGCAATCAGAGAGCAGCACAGGTTTTATCAGGTGAAGAGACAGAAGAGACCAGTCATGTCTAAAGAATTCAGACTCCACACTCACTTTTCTGAACAAAACCAAAACAGCTGTCTTATCTAATGTGTGATAATATGGCATTTTTTTTCAGATGGCCTTAGAACATGTCTTGTATATGTATTTGTACTAGATGACAGCACATTAAAAATGACATGTGGGTCCTGTAAGGGTATAGATATGACAAAAGCTATTGGTACTTCAGTATAAAAGTGAACTAAAGTTATAGAAAAAGAATAATTGTTATTTACTAGGATTATCAAATACAGGATATGTCAAACATAGTTTTTCACTCTGAACATCAGTGTACCCTAGGGCTTTTTATGCCTGCTCATTTTTGTTGAAGAACAACTGGAAATAAATAAACAAAAAGAGAGACTCATGGGTGGAACAGGAACACGTATGTTATTCTCAGCATGCAAACAAAGCTCATAACTACATACTTCACAACTACACCAATTACCGCACAGTGTAATTTTCTGGCCATGCAGCAGCAATTTCATTAGTACAGGGCTGCATTCTCCTTGACTCCCTGACACCTTATCACCTTTCCCATTCTGCTTGGTCCTGTGACATCTTACACTCACCCAAATTAATGTCAATGCATAACAAGATTTGTGCACACAGGTTCTGTAAGAATGTATTTTGTGGTTGTTATTAAAAAATTGTTCCCTAATGTGCTCAGTAATAGCACTGTGTAAGCAAGTCAATTTTCTGATCAGGAATGATAGTTCAGAGTGGACACATCATGTTGTTCTGCTGTAAGTGACTGTTTTTTGAAAAATCATTTTGTTACTTACATTTTATTTGAAGACATGATGAAATCTGCACTAATGCTCTGGGATGTAAGAAATTACATTTTTCAGTTTGTAGAACTTCTTTAAAACCATTGCTTTAGTCATAAAATCAAGGCCATAATTATGCAGATGATTACAAAATAAGCAGAAAGCTTAAAAAATCTTCACAATCTGATTGTTAGTAGCCAAGACACACATTTAGTAACAGCAAGCTGAAAGTGGGGGGAAAAATGTGAAATTAGTCAAGTGTAAGTCCTTTTAGCTCAGTCAAAAACCTAAAAAGACTGTATGAGGCACCTTTTTGCTGCCAGCCTTTGGAAAGGTGTACGATTTGAGTCTTGAGATAATTCCACCTCCTGCCCAAATCTAGAAACCACAATGTCAGAGAGGAACAGTAAATGTGTCAGGAAAATAGCTAAAGGTATTTTACAATGTAGACATAGTATAGAAGAACAAAACACTCCCAACCTTTCTCTTATGTGTGTGCCTACAAGCACACACGTGATGCATCAAACAAATGTAGTAGAGGAAATCTTAGTACTAAATTTTCTTTCAAACTGTATTACTGTCAAACCATCTTGACCTGTAGATACACCTTAAGGCAGTTTTTAAATTCAAGCACATTGACCTTTCCCCAGATCTTTTACACAGCATGTTTCTCCTGCCTCTGCTACTCAACTTTAGCCACTCCCCAACATATTTAGCAATGTAAATCGGTTGATAATTTTAGTGTCTTGAACTGTGACTAATGTATCTAGCAAGATCTGAAACACACTGTGGTCTTACAACAAACAATGTGGTTATTGAAGCAAAAAGCACACAAACTGGTATTAATTCCAAACAAAAATGAACAGGCTTTAGATTTTACATGTGCACTTATGTTCTGTATAAAGATACTTTTAAAAGAAATGCAAATATGTTTTACAATAATACATTAATGAAACATGACTAACTAGCACTTCTAGGAGTCACTGAGAAATCATACCTGCCTAATTAAAACTGCAATGCAGTACTTACTGACCAAGCATTTAGGTTTATGATGAAGTTGAAATAACAATCTGAGTCACATTCTCAGCCACTTTAAGCAGCCTTTGAATTCACTTATAATTAGATGTTCTGAACTTTTAAATAACCCATTTAGACTTTTTTAAAAATTATTTTTCCCCTGAAAAGATAGCTTTTCAAATAGATAGGATTAGTATTTTTCCTAGATTTGTTAAAAAATGTTTGCTTTCACATAAAAAAAGTTATCTTTTGTTTCAAAACGTCTAGAATACCCACACAATCCCTATTTCTTCTAGAAGAACAGAAACTTTTTGATGCTTGACATTCTTCATAGCTGTGATACACAGAAATTCAGTTACTTTGTACTGAAAAAACTTATAGAACCTGCTGTTTTGTTTTACTTCACAAAATTCTCTTTCCGTATTGGGAATAAATGGAACCTGAAGCAGTTCTTAGCTATAGTTTTCCAACAGATAAATTCTCTATGAGGTTAAGTGCTCTTCTGCACAAGGTGAGCATGGTTCATTATATGTTCCCAACAAGAGAAGCTCTCAGCACTTGACCAAACAGCTACCTGTACTGCTTTGATGGTAATACTGCTGAACTCAAATGTCTGTATTAGACATCAAAATGCATGCCAAGAGGACAGAAACAGTACTAGTCTAAAGTTAGGCTGTTTAGGTCTATTATTAATAGCTGGTAAACTGTGGCTAAACAAATAAAATACAAAAAAAGGATAAGTGGAGAATTTAGGAAGTGGCCAGAAGTGATCAGATTCACTGTAACATCAACAACTGACTTTAGGTTCATATCAAAACTCCTCTGCAAGTTTAAATACATATTGGGACAATGTGCAGGGAGAAAAAAGTAATTTACTATGCCAAAGGGGATTAAAATCATCTTAAATCTAGTTATGGAGCCTCTGGGGAAAGGCAAAAAATGTTCTAGTCCATACTTGTGCTGAGAGAAGTTAGAAGGAGTAAGCCTCCATATTCTGCATGGAGAAATTATTTCCAATACAGACTTGCAGCAGAAAGTCCTTCCTTTTGGAGAGGAAGCTTAGTATCACTAAAAAGGAGATGTTCAGATTACAGAAAAGGGGACAATAAACAGTAACATGTTGTTACTCTGTTCCTGGCGCACTAGCAAATACTATACAAATCCCTTCCCTGATGTTGTAAATTTTACTTCAAGTCCTTACACACCAACAGTTTGCAGTTAAATTGGTTGGACACTCTGCCTTGCATATCATCCAGCAGATGATTCTACAGTGGTCATACATTCACTTAGCTTCAAAGCAACTTCAAATTTGGGCATGCTCTCCACTAAAGCTTTGGAATCTCGCCAGTGTGTTTCAGGTATTAACATACAGAAAAATAAAAAACTGTTGAAAAATTGGTCTGGATGGGAACACCAGTATTAGACTGTCCCTCAGAACTGCCCATTCCTCTCCTTTCTTCAGCTGTTTATCATGTTCTGTCCCTCTACTCTCTCTTCTGCTTCTTCTAACCAATCTTTTCTCACAACTCATGATCATTCCTGTTGCCTTGCTGTGGATTATCTCCTGTTGGGCAACATTTTTGGTGCATGCCAAAAACTGATGAAAGTACTCCACCTGAGACCCTGTCAGGGTTGAACAAGCAGGAAACAGTCTTGATGTTTCCCTTTTTACTACCAGCATGATGACTTCTGGTCCTTGTTCCTGTTCTGATCCACTACAGGCATCACATCCTCTGAGAAACTGTTACTGTATCCCATCCTGTGGGGAGCTGACTATTAGAAGTGCAATATCTTCCACTAGTTTATACTGAACTTCATCTATTTTTCCTGGACATTTCTCCAATTCATCACAGTAATTTTGAGTCCCAATTCAAACATTTACAACCCCAACTGACATATTCTGTCAATCCATTTTGTAAAATAAAAAATACTTCAGAAATGTCAGAAACACAAACTTAAATCTAAATAATGTGAAGATAGATTGCACATCCTCTACATAAGACTTTGTGACTGTATTTGTTCTTTCCAGGATGCATTTTTGGTTTTGCAATCTGAATTCATTGTATTTCAGGCTCTGTGTATAAAAAAACTCTACATGAGTGGTCTTCAGTGAGTTTTGCACAAAGATATAAATGTATGAGAATCTGGCAATATTAACTAAAGTATTTGAGCTCCAGAAATATTTTAAATTCTCCACTTTCTATTTTTGTTTATACTACAGGATAGTGACTCAGCAGGCTTGTTCTATAAAACTCCCAAATAAAACACAAAATTCAGATTTCAGTCTTAAGAAGTTCAAAATGTCAAATTTAAACCATATTTTAGGAGAACACTTGCAAAATATGCACTCAACACATATCATTCTCATATCTTCGGTGCTTTTCCTTCCATCACAATGAGTCTTAAATGTAACTATTATTGATCAATCCTGAAACCATTAATGGTTGTATATAAAATGTACAAGTGAATAAGTGCATTTAAATGAGCTACTTGCCAGAGAAGTACATGTTCAAGAGTGAACTTAATCTCACCTAACTATGGCTAACTAAAAGCTACCTAAAAGCAAGTCTTGACTAATCACCTAGGCCCCTTTGGACTGGTAAGATGTAGACACACATTGGTGGAAAGTCATTCCACTACTTTTCAGGCTGATGTAGATGTGTATGTGTTCTTCAAAATGCCTCAAAAGCAAGCCTTTGAGATTTACTGAATGACTGGCTCTTTCATTTGAGTTTATTCATGTTAGGCAAGGTTAATGTTAGCTTAACCCTGTTAGCTCGACCATGTCTTTCACCTGTAAAGGTCATGAACAACTGGGGCAGTTATTACTGCAATGCACTGATGTAAAGAGAAGAGGTTAGCCCATTTACTTTCATGACATCAGTCACCTTAGTCAGATACAGATTTTTTTTTACGACTTCTGTGAAAAGTTAAATACCTAAAGTAAGATTTCTTGAATTTACTTTCATTTACACTTAAACTGCAAAATTTTCTATGGATAGTCTAAAACCTACATCACATTCCCACATTAAATGTGCTCGCTCCATCACTGTAACTAATGTGGTCTCATGTGCTTAAACTTCACAGTCATTCTTGTAAATGGCATAGATCCAAACCTCAGGACAACATTAAAAAAAAAAAAAAAAAACCTGGCACCAATTTTGGTTGCATAATTTCCAGTGATTTAAAAGGGCAACTGATTTTCAGAAAGTGGTGGTATGAAAATAGTTGTTCACAGACCCAGAAGGACTCAACAGTACTGAAATAAATGTAATTGCCTATTTGAACAAAAGTATTTTTTCTATAATGTGGGACTGCATCAAGATATTGACCTAAATGATTAGGCCCTCCAGGGAGTGGTGAAACAACTAAGTTAAACTCCCTATTTCAGATGAGATCAATTACGACTGAATGAGATGGTGTTATGTATCGCACCTCAGGTAGCTCCTTTAATCAATGGATTCTAAAAACTACATTTGCTCACTCTTCATGGAGTTGAAAGAACATCCCCTAATTTCACTGCACAAGGAATCAAGCCGTTGTGCAAAGTCAGATGTTAACTGCACACACCAAGTATGAAAATAAATTGAACCTCCATTTCTGCTTTAGTCATCAGATTCTCAAAATGGACTGTGTAAACAAAACAGTATCTCTCCTAGTGTTGATACAGTCACTATAGAACATGACAATCAATGAGGCATTTTGCATATGAAAAATACTGATTTTCACATACATTGTATGTATAAAAGAAGTTCACAAAATCAGATGATGATTAGCTCATTCAAAACACTGATGAAAGCAATAACCAAGCTAAAATGTTAAGCTTATATTCAACTTAGTGCTTATAACCTTAGAAAAACAAATTCACTGATGCAAAAATACCCAAGCATTAGGATTGCTAAAGCAGTATGTGGCTTCTGAAATGTATGTGCCTTCTCAAATGAATGCTAGCACTATGTCACCCCTACTCTTACCTTAGAAGGGGTTCCAGGAAGAGGAGGATGAGTGTTAAAAACAACATCTGTAAAACAATCAAATGTAGAAGGATACTGAACAAGGTGAGAAACGTACTGTAAAAAACACAAAATTTTACATAGGGTACCAACTTTCTAGTTTTTTAATCACTTTACAGTGTTTTTCCTGGCCCATCTTCTTTGTTTTTGTCTCTAATGTGACTTGGGTAATTGCTGCCACAGAGATAAAAGTATATACAGTGCCTAAGTGTACTGCTCAAAAGTACTGGAAAAGTACAGGCATATCCTTTCATCATAGCACTGGTATCCAGTCAGAATGATGGAAGATGACCTTAGAGAGGGAACATCACTTCTGGAACAGAACAAGTTAGACAAGGATCAGTCAGAAGCATCTTTTTTCCCCCGGCAGTTAGGACAAGAGAGAGGACAAGGTCTCATCAGTATTCAACATGACATTAAAGAAGAAACAGTCCGAAGAGCATACTGGACCTCCGGACACTCCCCCACAACTGCCTTTCACTCCCTTCCCCCAAGTTATCAAAGAATGACCCCTACTTCTATTCCTAGCATTAGCACAATGCAGCCAATCCCTTGTTCTGTCCTGCTCTCCCCAGTATGGGAAGTAATTCCTCATCTACCAGCAGCTCTCACTGCACCCAACGCGAATGCCTATAGCAGCACTGCTGATGTGCTGGCCTCAGCCTGGAGTAAGGGAGTGCTGGGACAATCACCTCATTAATGTGTGTGGGCCAAGTAACACACACTGCCACTTAGAGCAGCAAAGCATGTTTTGGATCTGACATTGATTTAGAGCCAGCAATAACTGGAGTTGGTAGCTTCACTTAAGCTACAGGATCTGCCTCCATCCTGCATGGTCTGGCGGATCTTAACTCTTTGAAAAGCTGGAAATTTACCATTTAGTATTTTTGTATCTAACATTAATCTACCATAATCTGTACTCACCTACACAGCAAGTGGAAAAAATGCACACATCTTTATCATCATTAGCATGGCTATGTATACATATCAAAATAGTAGAAATAACTCACCATTTTCTGAGCCAAGATGTGGGCAGGGGATGGTAAGAACCCTTAATAATCCATCTGGTTTGTATGAATAATGCTCAACTAACTACCAGAACAAGAGGGGGAAAAAAAATAAAAGGAGAGAAAAATATATTAAAAGGTAAGGGAGGTATAATTAAATATATTGTCTCTTTAAAATTCTGTGCATATATAAAATAATTGGTATATATTACAGCAAATGAACCGGGCATACAACAGATCTTTACTGCACATGTTCTTACCTCATATTTACTTCTCTTTAGCAGGGTGCATATTTCTGAAGTAACTTTGTCAATAAATCTGGAACCTGATCCAAGAACTGGATTTTTAAGACTCAGCATTCCACGCCTTGTTCTGCTACTAACCAGCTTTGTATCTTCTTTTTATACTTTTTTTTTTTTTTTTTTTTTTTTTTTTTTTTTTTTTTCCCAAGATCAGTATAACTACAGTGAAGGAATTGTCCTAATACATAATGCTTTCTTTGGACCTCAAAGTCGCAATGGGATGTAAGCAGTTAATAAATGTATAGCACCAGTAGTTGGTGTTCCTGGATAGTCCCCTCCATGCCATATTATTACAGGTTCATTACTGCTATATTGGCTTTGTTACATTTGGGTACAAAGAAGATGGTCAGTGAATGAAAGAGTTGCAGACATATTCAAAAAAATTGTAAGACAGCATAGCTGCTTTTAAATTCCCAGTGACTCCAGGAAAGTGGAGAATGCAGGACATTTACAGGAAAGGTTAAGAATTAATATATGCAAGTAAAGACCCATATTTTAGATTTGTGACTCAATTTACTTGTTTTAATAGAATTTTAAGCAAGAGGACATAAGAGATTTCTGCAGGTGTTTCAACTCCCTTAGCATTTTCAATTTATATAGTAATTTCCTCAGTATTCAGTTTTATTATCGACTATGGCATAGTCAACTATGCACTCCTTAATTGCTTAATCTTCACTCGGGTTTTGGTGGTAACCCTTAGCAAACTATGCTTTTTCAGCCTTAAAGGTAGAGAATTTCAAAGCTAAAGAATGCAGTATGTGTACTAAGAATGCAGTATGTGTACTATGCATTCTAAACCATCCCCTTTGTGCTTCCTAGCATTCTGTTTATTGCTGTCATAAAGGACATTAGCAAAAGAGTACACCTATTGATAGCATAGCTATTATTGAATATGGTCACTTGCAAATGCATCTTAGAGAATGTTCAGCTAACTGAATAATAATTACAGCAATTTTGAACTCAGCCAAGCTGAAATACCACATTTAAAAATTATTAAACTCTCTACACTTTAAGAACTTTCTACATTAACATGTATTTTCTTCATGTATAGAAAGCACATTAAGTTGGAAACATGTGACAAATAACCTGCCAAAACACATTGCTGTTTAGCTAGACTGTTGTTGCACAGCAGAGTAAAACAAGCTGCCTTAGTCAGTTACATGGAAACATGATGACAGATATTCAAGTGATTCAAATTGAACAGACCTGCCAGAGAGTGTCAAATCTTTTTCCATCTGGTATGGAGAGCTTTCCTGTCTTATCTCTGTCAATACGGTAATGCAGTACTTTTCCATCATTGAGCAGACACAGGGCATAGGAACCATTGCTGTCCCTTTCTCGGATACTGTAGGAATAAGAGGGATTTTCAGGGTTACACTTTAGTAGGAATGAGCATCTTCATTGAAGTTCTTTTTAAAATCACTCTTTAAGCTTTAGAATTACAAAGAAAAAAGAAAGAAAAATCAGTACTGCATCTTCTGAAGCAATTTTGTTAGGCCTTTCATTTATTTCTTAGTGTCATTTGTTTTCAGATAGAATTTCCTAAAGTTTCTTTTTTTTTCTCCCCCTAAGGGCAAAAGATGACAACAGAAAATCCACGATGTGGAGCTCTTTGCTAGGCAGCTACAGAACACTGTCTAGTGCACAAAGTGCTCTCTTTGTGCATGCAGGCCTGCAAAGCCCATAGAAGTCTTGACGCCAGGATCCAGCATACACCAGCAGTTGCACTTCAATCTCCTCTACAGCTTATGTAAAATTAAAAACTACATATAAGTGCCTTCATTAAAGCAAGATTTCTCTCTTGTATCTTTTATTTTGAAATAAAGAGATGACAGTACAGAAGATAAAATACTAGAAGAATATAATGTGAAATACAAATAAAGGCAAAATCATTGTGTACTGAAACAGATTGTTGATTGGCTGGGAATTTAAAGTAAAACATACATTTACGTAATCATTAATTCTTATAACTTCTGTAAAGACATTAATGCTTTGTTGAAGATTTCACATAAAATCCACATGAAATTTCACATGATATTGCAGTATATATCTGGTCTAAACTTCACCAGGGAGAGATCACAGAATGTAATATACAAACACTGCCTAAAATTCATAGGTAGCCATGATGATCTCCTTCTTCCAGGAGATCTGAAGTAAAATCTGAGACGCCTGTGAAGTGTTGCAGTTGTTTTATGAGTACTCAAGACTAGCTAAAACTGAGACCAGTATCTTTTGGTGACTGGACCCAGAGTAGACAGGAATTTGCTACTAGCTCCATCATAATTAGTGTATCTGAAAGTAGGGTTTTTCTTTGAGTAGCCTGTGTTCACTTGCTGCTGACAGTGAGACAGCAATAGAGCTAGACTAAAATTTTCAACAATACTGAAACATTCCTTGTTTCTGTCTTCTACTCACTCTCTCTTGAATTTTTCAAAAGCCCTGAGAAGAAATATAGCAGGATATGCTCACTAAGATGTTGTGAAGCTGGTGCAACACTAGTACTTGCTATCACATCTCAGAAGATTGCAGAGGCAAGCATTAAATTATGTTCCTCAGCTGACTCACTGAACTAAAATTGGGGTTTGTCTGAACTACTCATGCAACTATTTTTTCAAGCAGAGTGATTCTTGTTGCCTAAGATGTGAACAGGACACTGGCTAAAGGAAAAGGGAAGTAGGGTCAGTTTTCTTTCTGAAACAAAAGTAACTTGCCTAGTGTCTCTAAAGCACCTTAAAACACATTGTGGTTTTTCATGACATGTAGGTATTTTCTCAGCATGCTAATTTCCTGTGCTGACTGAGCAATGGAGAGCAACAGGTTCCACTAAATAAGAATGACTTTTACTCTGTCTTCCTCTGACTAGCTTTTAACAAATGAGGCTTGGAAAAATATTTAGAGAATAGAGGCTATTGTTTCTAAAACACAAATGAATGGCATTTCATTGCATTCAGACTTCTGTTTAGAATACAGCACAAGTAAGATTACAAAAATGCAATGGATTGTTTCCCAGTAACAAATGTCCTTCGTGTTTCACATGAGGAAATGGTGGCTCCAATACAATTAGCTCGACTGAAACTGATTCTCATTTACAAGAGTTGTTGCTATCACTAGTCATCGTAAACACTTCTTGAGAGCACAGGCATTAATGGGAGAAGGGAGTACTGACTTCTAAGGACCATGACACAGACACAAACAGCCTTATCAGTATCAGGTGCAGGATTTAGGCAGAGTTCAGATTTATAAGGCTGTGGCTGCATTGCCCCAACGAGCAGTTAACAGTCATGGCGATTTCTGTCAGACAGCTCTATCACTGCACATGCAAAAAAACTCCACTCTAACATTTGATCAGGGTCTAGAGGGAGCATTGTTCTCTTGGGGTTATGATTAGGGTGGTTTTTAAAACTGTAGCCAGTCAACACCAGTGCAGTTTTGATCCCTGCAAAACAACAGAAGGTACTGAAGAGCAGAACTATCAAGAGCTTTGAAGCAACAGCCAAATGATGGCCTAAGTCTTAATTTTGGCAACCAGATTCATTAATGGTCCAAAAAGTGCCCTCATAGAACTTACCATCACAGTCCAAATCAAAAACTTTTACTGCCTCTGGTGACAAGCATTGTCACAGGCCATGTTTCACAATTTCATGTTGGTTTTGTAGACTGTTATAATGGCTGTCTAGGTTAGGATAAACCTCCAGAACTCCAGCTGGGTACACAGTATCCAGTACCTTACTGTTAACGTAAAAAATGGAATAAAGAGGAAGGCTGCTCAAACTGAAAGGTTAGAAACTAAAACATCTTCAAATGGAAGTCAAGGTTTTCACACCTTCTTGATGGTGCTGCCTGTACTACTCAGGGTCATCACACCAGATTATGGGGCTCTCTTCATATATGGAACATTCTTCCTACAAGAAGTAACAATTTTCAGAATGTTGAGGAAAAAATCCAAAAATCCAAATGCACTATGTGCTTTAATGTGCTCTGAAATTGCACCAAATATTTACTGTTCTTCAATACAAACTGATAACAAAAAAAAAATTTCATGTTAAAAAGCTGTATTTTTTTAAAAAGCGTTTTGGCAAGGAAGGAATCCAGCAGTGAAGTATCACCTGGTCTTTCACTTCATGACATTGTACTATTAATCAGAAACATTAACGATTTCATTGAGAACAAATTTGAATTCATAGATACATTAGAGAAGCACCAAGGTATCTAGATTTTCTGACATAATTTTTAAAACAGCAATTTTAGAAGAAACTGAGATACTCAAATTGTTACACAATACAATGAAAAGAAGGTTTAGTTATTGATTTTAATTTTCATGCATCTTATGTTTGAGTATTTTTATAGTTTTGTGAATGTAACCCAAATAGTAACCAATAAGTATTTGGCGTATCATTACAGACTGTGTAAATAGCTAACCATTCTCTCCTCTAGTAAAGTCTCAATTTCTTCTTGGAAGCAAAAAGAACAATGTCTCAATTTTCCCTGCTTCCAAATGAAAAGCAATTCTTTCCTTTCAAAGGAAAAAAATCCCCAAGGTAAAAAAAAAATAAAAAATAAAAAAAAAATGGTATTGCAACATGCCTCATTGACTGTGTAGCAAAGGGATTTCATCTTTTCTTCACAACTCTGATCCACTCTGCTGCTGAAGCACACAGCATAGAGCTACCCTTGAGGAGTCACAGTCTTGCTGCAGTGGTCTGCAATTGGTGCCTAACTATGTACCTTACTGAAGATCAGTCAACAGCTCTCCCAGACAGCTGCAGGCATCATCTAGGCCTCTCAGAAGGGAAATACAGCACCTCCAGAAACATTGTTCACTGTATGCATTTTATCATTTCTCTTGGAAAATTTTTATGGTCATCTAAACCTAGCAACTGCTTGGCATTTTGAAGAGAAACTTCATTGTTAATTAATAACCTGAATTAAGGTCATGTTTAGTAGGATTGTTTTCACCTTGTCTGATGTCAACAGTGTCCAGTTCCATTGATGGATACAAACATAATACTGGTAAACTTATTTAAAGAATACTCTGCAATGTCAGATAGATCACCTAGCTCAGTATGAACTCCAGTAGTGGTAAATTCCTAGAGAAAGACAGTAAGATTAATGTAAATATAGACTGCTACATGTATCAGAAACAGATTTTGGGTGAGACAAAAGACAAGAAAACCCTTATGAACAACTGCACTTCAAAACTGCTTATTCTGAAATGGTGTTAGTAGTGTTAACTATTGCAACATGTAAGAGAGACTCTAGATGTCATGAGGAGCCATGATAAGTAGTGCTGTGAGTCATTCAAATAGTTGAAACTAGTTTGTCCTCTTTAGTATATCTTGTTGTGTACTTAAGACATTCATATTCTAAAAATATTTTTTACTTTCCTTGTAAAGTATGCACCTTTCACATTTTATGTGAACTAAGAACCCATATAAAAGGTTTCTAGAGACTAAACTGCTAATTATGCAATGTCTTCACTTACAATTTCCTCAGTGTTGAATTTTTTAAGTTTAACAGTATTTCCAAATATTGGTTATCTTCCTTCAGCTTCAGAATTTTTGGTTCTTAAGACATGCAAGATCACATGCTCATGTAACTGAAGTGGTCACTACTGATGACAAATCAAGATGTACCAAGAGCTACCACACACTTACTGGAGTTGTTTCCTGTATGAAACTGCAGAGAAAATTAACATGTTTTTGTACTGCTGGTCTGTCACTGTTAGCAAATTTTAAATTAATTTTTCAACTGGTCCACACATGCATGTACTCACATAGATAATATTATAAATATTATTTATTAATCATGGAATATTATTACAATAACAGTATTTATAAAATTAACAGTAGTATCTATGAGCATCTAGACAATATTTATCATCATATTCTACAATTATGCCCCATATCAGGCAAAGTCTAATAAAAAAACAGGTCTGGTAAGAACCAGCATCCTACACAGCATGCACAGCACTGTCAATGAAGCTAGCAGGGCTTAAGACTTTAAAATAAAGTTCTCTATTTTCAGTTGCTTTTCAGCTCATTTTAGAGATATTGTATTTTCCTTCTATTCCACTGCTATAGTTTTTTCTTCAAATGTTTTTGGCTAGAGTGGCAATCTTTAATGAGTGTCCTTCCTGGAAGGGTTGGGCATTGCTTCCTATTTCATGTAATTTCATGGGTTTGTTTCTAATTTTGACTTTAAAAACAAAGTCTATATCAGCTACATACATACTTATTTCACTGACTTTTCAGTCATGACAAAAACTTTAAAAAGACCTTTGAAAATTTCCTAGTAAAATACTCAGAGTTGTCTCAGAACTTTTCCAGCAGCTTGGATAAATCACAGTGTTAGATCTATGATGCTAATCATGACGTTTTGAACTGCAGTCAGGAAGCTTTTCAACTATTTCCATATTTATTATATTAAAAAACAAACAAACAAAAAAACCCCAGATTTGATAATCTTGCAGTGCTGCAAAGCAGCACTGAAGAAATATGTTCTCACAGAGACCGCTGTACTGGATTTTGTTTCAAGGTAAGTAGATCAGACAGCAGATTTCTGGTGTAATGAGATTTAGAGACCCTTGTAAAAGAATATACAGAAATATTCTAGCCTTATAAAATGCACTATTTTTTTCCATAGTAAGATTATTTTTTCATATACTAGCACCTGCTTGTGGACTTGTAGGATAGCCTCACAGTACTTCATCTAATTTAAAATCTAGCTTCTCTCTATGTTCCCAGGCTCCATTTCCTATCTCAACAAGTGAACTTCTCTTAGACACTGAATGTTTCTAAGTTTCACCTTTCAGTCAGCTACCAGGCTTGAGTCTCAATCAACGTGAGAAAAACAGTCCCTGAACAGCTACATTCACAAGCACAAACTCAGCCTTCAGTCCACAGGTGTACAGAAGTTTCTGACATGCGCTGCTGCCAGGTAAGCAAAAAGCATGGGATGCCCATGCCTGAAATGTAAAACAGTGCACCCCTCTAGCACTCAACAGTTTTGCTGCTACTGTTTCAGTTAGCTAACAAATGAGTGGTTTATTTCTCAACACCTGATGAGCTAGCCCATGTTAGGCAAACCACTGCGGAAAACAGAAAACTTCTCTGAATGAGACAGTTCTTTTGTTATATTCTATGAGCCTCTAGGTCTACCAATCTGAGAGCTCAAGAGCTCTGAAAGGAAAAATAACTGATTTCTGATAAAAATGAACAACACATTATTTCTCTTGTTTCTCTGGCTGCTAAATTATGGAGCAGATGAAGATCTCACCGTTTCTTCCCTGGGAGTGTAAGAGTAATTTAGGTCTAAACCTGCCAGATATGCAGTCCATGTAAGAACAATTAATGCATCACAAAACACCCTACAGGTGCAGAAGTAAATAGTGCTGTCCTTAATAAGAGGGATGCAAGCTAAAACACACTATCAGTTGTATTTTCATATTATTTTAGCTCCAGTGGCACTTCTCATGGTTTACAGAGCCTTAAAGTTAGTATTTTCCCCTCTATGGGTTTATCTACCTGATGTGAAAGCAGCTGCCTGAGTTCCAGCAGAACAAGATATGCACCCACTGGCATAACAAGTCCCCCAGGAGAAAGTCTGACTGCTCCCTCCACAGCTCATCAAGCATGTTGCTGCAAACAGCACCAGAAATGCCTCCTAAGCCATCTCTAAGGGAAACAGGAAAATGCTGGAGAAGTACTTCTATTAAAAGCTGTAGGAATGCTTACAGAATATTAAAAAGAGACCAGGGTCTCTTTATAATAGAGATTGAAAATGCCAAGTCTGCTAAAAAATTGCATTCCCTCACTCCAAAGCTCATCCTTATTGTTAAGAAATGTTAGTAAAGGGATCCATTTCTTTGAAGAAAAATTAGCTTCCTTTTTTTTTTTTTTTCCCAAAGAGAAGCACTTTAACCACATAGAAACCAATGTGTGCAAGAGGTAAACTGGAAATGCTGCAAGCTTCAATACATGATCAACATCATGACTTAGCTGATACAACATTGATTTGGTAAGATGTTAATATGGAAAGTAATAATTTTTAGAAAAAAAATAGGTCATTAAAAGGAAGGGTTGCTTCTTTGTTTCAGATTACACATCCCTATGTCTAACAAGTAGGATAAGAAACTAGCAAAGTCACAGGGCAATTAAAAGAGAGGTGGTATGGTAATGCGGTGCTGGTAATCTATGACAGTGACTACGTTCATCAAATCAGTGAAACTTCTGTGCTACAGGAAAAAGCATTCAGAAAAGATGAATCTGTGATAAAGGGAATCTTTGGCTCCACAAACATTTGCAATAACTTTTGTTACAAATGGCAACAAAAGCAAACAGAAAATGACCCTCTAGACATGATCCCAAGAAACAGGGAGTATGGGGCTGAAAATGTGAAGACACATGGCAACTTGGGTGAGATGAATTGTGAAACAATAAAAATTCAAGGACTGAGAGAGAAAAGAGATTTCAAAAAAAGAGATGTCAGTACACTCAAAGTATTTGTAGCTAAGACCTGATGGGATAGGAATTAACTCTACTGGAAATAAAAATTTCAAGGAGTTACCAGTTCCAGACAATTAAGACTGAAACATGGAAACATATGACGGATGCATCTACATTAGCAATTAGTGTGGCACAATTACAGCAAATCAGTAAAGGGTTGGTAATGAAGAAGCACATCCATTCTGCAGTCACTCCTACAGTTTTACTTTGGACTAGTTTTAAAAAAGTCAAAGACAATTGAGTGCTGAAGGAGACTATATAGGTAGGCAGTGAAATTTCTCTCAGGAATTACACAGTTCAAACTGATCCTTCCTTGGCCACGACCTTTAAGCTTCATTTTCTATTACTATCTATATAAATACTTGGGGGAGGGGGGGGGGGAAGGAAAATGGCTCAATGAAAACTGATTTTTTTCAAATTAGGATTTTCCAAAAGCAAAACTTTTTTTGTTAGAAGATTCTGTCTCTAATCCTTACAAGATGATGGCTGTTAGTCACTATTCTAAATGACACCTTTGCACTCAGAAAACAAAAGATCTTGACATCAAGTAAACGCAGGCAGTGGCAGACACAAAATGGTGTTACCAAGGTAAAAGCAATTCCTTGTGGTACTTAACTGCAAAACAAAGCACCACCACTGCCCCCAGGAGAACTGACAGTTATGGATCCCAACAGCTGTTAACATCAGCAGCTTGTTTTTACTTTTACCACTTTGCTAAGTTAGCATATTGGGTGCAGGTGGCCAGGCTTTGGCAGTGGGGCTGCAGGGGGCTCTGTGAGGAGGTCAGGGGCTGCCCTGGACCAGTCATGACTGGTTCCAACTGGGCCCAATGCAGGGACCCCTGCAGGGCACTGCCAAGCACCTCAGCCACGTATGTGGCACCTCCGCCTCTGTGAAAACATCCTTAAGAAAGGCCAGAAAAATGCCTGGTTGCTGGTGATGGACAGAAAAAAACCAAACATGAAACAGAAGTAACACTGCAAACACCAAGAGCAGAGGAGGAGGTGGGGAGGAGGCATTCCAGGTGCTGGAGCAGAGAGTCCCCTGCAGCCCATGGGAGAGGCCACGGTGGAGCAGATGTCCATACTGCAGCCCTCCAAGAAGATGGGTATTTCCTGAAGGATATTTCCTGTAGAGAGCCCATGTTGCAATGGGGAACAGCATGAAGAGGAAGGAGCGTCAGTGAGAAGCTGTTACCAACTCACTGCAGCCCCATCTCCTACCCATCCTCCCCCGGTGCGGCTTGGTGGGGAGTGGAGTTGGGTGTGAAGGAGGGAAGCTGAGTCTGTGAAAACTAGGGGTGTGGGGGTGTGAGAAGACAATGTTTTTTGTTTTGTTTTTGTCTTTCTCAGACCCAGTACGATCTCCAACTCAATATCAACTGACAATAAATTAAATTACTTTTCCCCAAGTGGACTCTGTTTTGCCAATGGGAGTTAGTGGTACATGATCTCCCTGTCTTCATCTTGACACATAAGCTTTTCCATCCTGTTTTTTCTCCTTGTTCTGTTGAGGAGGGGAGTGTGACAGCAGCTTGGTGGACTAAGGTTAACCTATCACAGTCACTTTGTATTACTTATCAGTTATAAAACAAATTTAAATGAAATTTTCTTGTATTGAGTTTTTCTTACACTCCTGTTAGAATTAAACCCAGTATTTGACTAAAATACAATGACGCACACTTTTGCTGTAGTTTCCCATGTTTAGTTAAGTGAAAACGTAATGTTGGAGAGACTTGCTTAGTACAGGAATGCTTATGTCATGTATACCATGCTGGACTGGGGTCTCTCACTGTGAACAAGTCACCTTTTAGGACACACTCTCATTTGAGATTCATTCATGGGAACTGTGTACTAACACTGGTGGCAAACAGTAATACCACAGAAAAAAACACTCACAGAAATTTTCCATTGTTTCTTGAGCCAATGAGAATACGATGTTCTGACTCTTCCCGAGAGATCCTCCCATGGAACCATGGCATCTTCTCATGGGCTGTAGTGGCAATCAGTTTCTCCAGTTGAGGCTTTTGACTAATGATAGCTTGCTCAAGAGCATGCCCCTAGAGAGTGGTAAAAACACAGCAGGACAGTCAAACCATCTTCTATAGTAAAAACATGACAGGTAGACTCACAGTATTGGATTGCTTTTGGGACGTTCAAAATCTGCATGTACCTATAGTATGTGAGGAAAAGATCTGGTTGCTATAAAGATATTAAACCAGAAACTAACTTACAGTAACCTAAACATCACAAAGCTGGGATTCTTCCTTTACCTCTGAGAAACAGATGGAAAAATGACCAGTAAATTAAGCCTTTAGTGTCATATCAGTATTTCAGCTGAAAATTATGTCATATTTTTACGCTAATGAGACATAGCTGAATATACTCAGTGCCAGTCTGAGATGTCATAACATACCTCCATATGACATATCCTACAGCAGTTTACTGAAATAAACTGAACATGCTACGCATTGTTTCAACATGTCTACATTGAAAACATCAATGCAAATTTCCCAAATGAAGACAAAACAGTCTCAGTTTTAGAGTGAACTACATTAATATTTTAGGCATAAGCTAGACACTTCTAAACCATCTACAGCCTATCACTTCCAACTTTGTCCCAGAATCTGAGGGCAAAAATCCCTCATTTCATCAGTCTTCAAACTGAGTTCAACATCTTCCTTCTAGACTGAGCTCAGACTCAGAAAAAAAATGTCAGCCTCAGCACTTGCTGTAAATGTAGTATAAATTTCAGACTTTTCCAGTTTGGGCATTGTCCCACATATTTCACAGAGCAGAGCACGCAGGGTTACTTGCTAGTACCAAAAGAGATGAAAAGCCTAGCATAACTCCATGAGCTCATAATGGTAACTCATGGCATCCCAAGGTGAAATAATATTCCAGTTGCAGCCTCCTACACTAGTGTTAAGACTAGCTTCTTCACAGTCATTCTAAGGAAAAAGTCCAGCCTGAAACACTGATGCTTGACACATGAAGTACTGAAGATATATATGTAGTTAAGAAACCAGGTGCTGTTCTGGACTTAATCTAAACAAGCATTACAGAAACAAGGTCAGCTAAGAGGGGAGGATGTTAAACAAGTCACCATATCACCATGTCTGCCTGCATATCAGTCCATAAGCATTCAGAATCAAAAGCAATCAAATAAACCATTTCTGTATCTTGCTCATCATCTTGTTCTTGTATTATCTATTAACTTTTGGTGCATGTGGAAATCTGATGACACAGGTTAGTGCAGAGCTAGATAAGCTTATGCTAGACCAAGACAGCACAAAAGTCTTAAGTTTTGTAAAATGTCAGGAAAACTACACTTACAACTAAGTTACTGCATGTATTGGGTGGAAAAAAATCTCCACTGTTCAAAACTCAAACTGCTATGACTCCATTATGAAAAAAAAACTAAATAGCAGCATCAACAGCTGGAAACAAACACTGCAATATCTTTTCTCCTAAATCAAGGACAACTTTATGGCAAAATCAGCCTGCATTTACCTGAAGATTCCAAGTTTGTTTGACATACTCTCTGATGAGGTTCTCTTTTAAATCTTCAAAGGGTCCTGTTTTGGGTTGAATGCCTGGTGGTCGGTTGAAAGGTTTTCTCAGTAGACAGACAAGGCCATCGGCTTCCTCTGAGTGATAGTTAATGAGCTCAGCAGGACTGGCATGTGACTTGCCTCCTGCAATAGCATATGAGCCACTTAGCTCCCTCTCAATTGTATAATGATGAACCTTCCTTCCATGGGCCAAGGATAAAGCAAAGCCCCCCAGGTAATTCCGGCTTTGCCGGAGCAAGTACAGTCCATCACTCACTCCTCCTTGCATCAGATACTCCTCAGCTTCTTCACGTGTAATATTGCCAAAGAAGTATGGCAAATGGTTAGCAGGGTTTGCTATGTTGGAAGCCATGCTTTGTCTTTTCCAAGTAGCAAACTTAGTATTCTTATATCTGAAAAACAAGGACAGAGACATGAGCACCAGTTAAAAAAAGCAGGATAAACCAGTAACACGGCAGTTCACCTGTGGTATGTTGGTAACAGATTTTTTAAAAGATTTTGGGATGAAGATCAGACTTTTATTTGTATCTTGTTAGAAGTTGTCTAAATCCCAATAGAAAGTTTTTCCCTGTTATACAGTAATATAATAGCTTCCTGTAACTGCACAATTTCCTCCAACTCCCTTTCTGCTCCTTTTGCCTGCCCGTATAGAGGTCCTGACATTTTCACCTGGCTGAATGCCTTATCCATCCTTTTGTACAGACCTTCAGGTGTTCCCTAGTAAAAGGAAATAACTAGGTAAGAAAGATTCGGTGAGTACAGTTTTTCATTCCAGTTTTTTGCCATTATCATTTTGCTTATAAGAGTAACATGCCATTATGCGGGCTGAGTATGGACAAAAGTCCTATCTTAACATAGATAACACTTCTCTCCACATAGATTTACCAATGTTTTTTTAATGGGAGGGAAGCGATATTGTCTCTTTGAACAGTTTTCATTTCAAACAGCTTCTATTGAAATAACATGAAGGCACACTATCAACAAAACCACAGAATATATTCAAGTTCAGCAGGACTGAAGAATAATAGTGTACATAACATAGAGGGCTTCTTTTAATATAACAATAACAATAACCTCCTATCTATTTTTACATATATCATATATATATTACAGTATTACATATATCAATATATTATATTTAAAAAAAAATATGCCCAAGGACTCTACAGAACTCTAGCTACAGGAATACTGTTCTTCTTGTGTCCTGTCTCCCCTGAGTTATCCCAGCCTCTAACCTACATTGTCAGAAAATAAATTTATTTTCATTAAACCCCAATCGCAGATTTACACTGCTGGGACAGCGAAGTATTGTGATGGAGTTCCTTTTGTCTCTTTCAAGTTATTGAAGAGGAGACATCAGAACACAAAAGATGAATTTTGTTTACTATCCATATGAGTGACATTTAAATGACTATCTAATGGATACAGGGAAGAATACCCCAACTACCTGCTGATAACATGTAACTGGATAGGAAACGAAGATACTGACATCAGTGAGACTATTCTTGCAAGAGTATTTACAAGCTCTTTTTTGTCAGATGAAGTGGTCCACAACTGCAATTACTTATGTAATCGCAAGTTCACCAGTAAATTAATTAATCACTTCCTGCAACGTTACAAGTTTTGCATATACTTTCTTCTCCAATCCAATCACTGTTTAATCAGGACTGGCCACAGACCGTTACATCTACAGTTTATGCAGCATAAGAAAAAAGGAACTCCATTTAGGAGCAGTTCAACATCTTCTTTCAGTCTAGAAAGAAATGAAAAATCCCACTATTATTGCCGTGCACCTGTAAAATGACTTCATGTTCTGAAAAATTACTTTTAAAGAACACATGAAGTATTGAACAAAACTAGCAGTATGTGCTTATGTTGCTAATATTTGTGTGTGTCAGATTAAACTTTTCCTTATGAAATATCTCACAAATTGCCCCAATTTTTATTACCTTGCCTTTTAAGTTCAGCTGTGACAACCTGATATTTAAATACTCTCAAGTATACAATGCAGGTGACAGCCTCCATAATCTGTAGTATATTATGCTGATTTTAGACTAATTAGCAACACTACAAGTATATAAAAAGGAAAAACACTGTTGGTTTTTTGTATTTACAAGATCACTGCGCATCTTGTAGTCTTTTCTTCCAATGTGTATATATTACCTAAAATTCATATATACTGAATATGAAACCCATTAATATTAACCTACAAAATACTGTTATCTATGTTTTATTCAGATTACTGCAGCTCTTTTCCCACCTTTCATTATGTTGCACAGAAGCAGACAAAAGAATCAGAAATTCTGTTCCTGCTTCTATTTCTGTGCAGGATATAGCAGTAACAACAATGTGCCCTTCACAGTTAAACAAAGGGCATGATTTTAGGGAAGTCATGCAGCACTCTGTGCAATCAGCATTAAATAATTCAGGACGTATGTGAACAGGCTTGGTTAACAGACTTCTCAGCTTGCAGTTGGCCAAACTGTGCAACTGAGTGATGTGAGCAAAAGTGGAGAGGAGTTTGTGGGAGACCACATAAGAAGGAAGGGTCCATAATGCAAAGCTACAACTGAGGAATGGGCGTCTTAATGAGGGCCTCTGGAACGCTGTGCTTGAGGCCGACATCTTCCCTGGCAGCTCTGCAGCAGGCAGAGCTGTGGTGTGCCTACTGCTTCATTCAGATATGATCCATACCTGATACGCTCCTGATCCTCCACCTGGATCAAGAAACAGCAGAGAAATGCCTGTGTTGCTCTATGAATATATTGTGAAGAACATGGGGGGTGTGGTGGGGGGCAGGGTGTGAGGAACACACAAGTCAAATGAACAAGGCTCACAGAGTATAGAACACTAGTCAGGACACAGTCAGGACAAATCACACGTGGTGCAGATCTTCTGGTCTTCTCCACCTTCCCAAAGAAGGCAGACACCAAATCTGTGGAGCTACTGCAGCCCTACAAATAGAGCTGTGTGCAGCATATTATTTATTACTCTTGTGGTTTGCAACGAAAAGTTAATGGTGTAAGATCACATACTAATCTACTAATGTAGCTCTTGTTTATTAATTGCAAAGAAAGCTGTAACTGAAGAAACAAAAGAAAGCAGTCCTCTGCATAACACTGCATTCTGCATAAACTACTATGCAAAATGACAATTTCAGTGCCACTAGATGAAGACAGAGACAGCTTTCCTTAAACAGAATGCATTATTTCAGTAACATAATGCAGGGCCAGAGGACTGTAATCAACAGTACAAGGTCCAGCTGGAGGACATTTAGTAGTCAGTTCTGGGGCCAATACTGTTCAAGATCTTCATTAAGGAGATGGACAATGGGGAGAGTGCACCCTCAGTAAGTTTAGAGATAATACAAAACAGGGAGTAGTGGGTGATACATCATAGGGTTGTGATGCCATTCAAAGGGACCTGGAAAGGCTGAAGAATTGGGTTGAGAGGAATTTCATGAAGGGGAAACTTTCATGAAGGGGAAACATCCCGTGGAGCAGGCTTTCCCCTTTGGGGCATCTGCCTTATTGGCTGGGTGACTATCAGGGGCAGCCCCTGACACCCCTGCAATGTTACCAGGGAACGGCCTGTGACAGACCCTGACCTCGCTGTTTTTCAGCAGCCACAGACTCTGTGCCCACACATTCTGTCCAGGGCTCCGGTGGGCACACATGCAAGGCATGCAGGCTCCAGCAGGACCTTCAGCTTGTTCTACCAGCCTTGGCATGGAGGAGAGCAGCAGGTATGGGTGCTCTGCAAAGGCAGCCCCTTCCAGTACTCCTCTCTCCTCTGTCTGGCTGTGTGGTGGTGCAGAGCCTGTAGGTCTCTGTCCCCAGACAGTGGGCGTGACATGGTGCCAGGGATGTCATCAGCAGTGAAGACTCCCAGCAAGTTCCTCCATCTTCCCTGACTGCCTCCTCCACGTACCCTGTGCTAACCCGATGGGTGTTTGGTGAAGAGTGTGGGGGCTTGAGGGTCTTGGGTGTACCAGCTCTTCCCTCAAGGCCCCCCAACAGCTCACCAGAGCCTGTCTCCAGCATCTCACCCAACCCGGCCTGAGCACTGGGGAGGTGTGGAGGGGATCAGGACTTTCCCCCGCTCCCTCCTGGCAGTTCACCTCCAAGGGAGTGCAGAGACAAGGGCACATCCCAGGCTGTCCCCACATCTCTCTGTCCTGCCCCAGGGCTGCGACTGCTGCTTTCCAGCTCACAAGGAGAGAGCCCTTGGGAGGCCCTTGCCTCCCCTCTCCCCCAGCCTTCTGGGGCTTCCTTGGCTTTTCTGCTTCTAGCACCGGACAAGCTCCAGCACTCTGCATGTCTCTCTTGGCAGGATATGGCATCAGGCACTGAGGAAGTCATGGGGGAGAGAGGCTCTGCTGCAAGGGACAGTGGCAGAAACCACAGCTGCCACAGGCAGGGATGGTGTCAGTCTCTTCGCAAGTGTGACAGGATGAGAGGAAATGGTCTTAAGTTGCATCAAGGGAGATTTAGATTGGATATCAGGAAAAGTTTCTTCACTGAAAGCATTATCAAGCACTGGAACAGGCTGCTCAGGGAGCCCTGGAGGTATTTAAATGACCTGTAGACATGGTGCTTAGGGACATGGTTTAGCGTTGGACTTGGTAGTTTTATGCTTACAGCTGGACTCGATTATTTTAATGGTCTTCTTCAACCTAAATGTTGTTATGATTCTGTGATTCTATTAATCTGAAAGTCACTACAAATATGGAGGCTTTGAATGCTCTAGTTCTGGTTTCCCTCATTCCTGCTTACTTGTTTCCCTCAGACATCCCCATGTCACCCTGTCATTCTTTATTACTCCACTCTGCACCACAGATACTTAGGAGATGAACATACATCATCCTATGTCTGGCAAAGTGCTTCCTGAAGGCAGGCTCCAAGTCTTCAATCTCACTTTCAGGAAGGGTGGAAGAAAACAGATTTGCTGCTAGGTTTTCAGTAAGGAAAGATCTTAAATCATGTTCCATCACAATTAAAACAATTTCTAATCTGTGCAAACCTTTGTGGTCCTCAACAGCAGAGGCAGCTGGGACACAGAGGACACAGCTGCCAAATGTTAATCCTGAGACTGCAGGAGGTTTCAATTTTTTCCATATTTGTAGGGAAGTTAGCCTGGACACCAACACAGTGGATGCACAGATGGATGAATGCTTCACAAGCACTGTACAGCTAATTTGGAGAAAAGGCCAAAATAATCCCATACAATTCTCATGCCAAGAAGGATACAGCACTGCAGTACCTGTTCTAAACACCTCAGTTATGCTGTAGTGAAGAAAATTCAAACAGAAAAATGCCACTACACTTTTTATTTGTGGGAATTTATATTCACGGAAGTTTCTTTCCTCTTACCTTTGGTTTCAGG